TTTAAAGAAACTTTCAACGTCACAAATGATCAACAAGAAAGATTAACTAATAAGTCAAACGACCAAAATCACCAGTCGACTCCTGATAGAGGTGCTTTGATATGTTGATTTATTACAAATTTAGTGTTTATTTCTTGAAATCTGTAATAATATCCGAACATTTTATTAGCAACACATATCTAAAATGAGTCAAAATGAGTTATATCAGCAATTGAATCATTATTGCAACTCACTTACCAACTGTGTTTTTTGCTATAACGAAAGCGACTATGATAAGCCAAACAGGTTCTACTAAGAAGTCAAAATTATCCATAAACTCAATTTTGACCAATAATGTGTATTTTTCATTTGAAACTATAATTATAGATCGACTGAAACGCTGAAAAGCAAAACTGATCATCCACACTTGATCAACAAAGAAGTCAATATGACAAAAAGTATCCATTGACCCCTTGGAGTAGTTGCTGCCCCTAAATCATAGTTTAACCCCTTTCTTTTCCCCTTTTGTATTTGCTTATTTCGAGAGCCTTCAAATATGTAATGGATAGAAAGATTCTCTTTCCAGCAAAATGATTAGCTCCATTGTACCAGTTTAAAGTAAAAATATCATAAGAGAGCCTCTTATTTCTAACCTCTTAAATTAAAGATTAAGAGCTTGACGCATTGGCGAATGTACTGTCAATACCCTGTTGTAGAAGACCGTCCATCGACCTCTTGACGTCATTTGAAATCTTATGTTGTCTGCTGTCTTACTGGTGTATACCTACATTTCTATTATCTGGTAGCTTAATACGTATACAGAGGAACTAGATATTTGCCATAAATTAGTGCCAATTTTGTACCAAAAAAATAATTGGATCTTTTTATGTCTTTGTCTTCAAAAGACTAACATTATCGAACGAGAATACTGAAAGTATATATAAAACGTTTAATGTAAATTGACATATGGATGACTCAGTGGATAGAAGTCCTTGCTAAAGAATCATTCGCTCATATTCTTTAAAACGTTCACTGGGACAAGATTTTAGTGTCGCTTGAGGTCAATTGAACATAGAAGTAGTAAATTACAAGTCGATTATCATCAGATAAAAAAATCTAGGTTAATATTTCTTACAAAAGACGTTCATAGATTTGTTCAATTTCACACACCAATATGCTTATTTTTCTAAATATTTACATTAGAAGTTCTGTGTATTACAATCGGGAATTTTCAAATGAATAGAGAAAATATCGAACAAATACGAGTAAAAAGGAGGGTATTTACTTGTTATTATACGTTTTTTGTAATTTTAATTTCAAACTATCATAGCTTAGCTTTGATTTTGTACTGTCAAGAGTATTTTGTGCATTAATATAAACTTAGAATGTGAGATCTATGGTAAGATTTAACACAAAATTGATAACGAAGCTATTCAAATAAACTTCCTTCCAGCAGAACGCACTTTCTGGGCAGTTTTGAAGGGTTTAACCTTAAATTGAAACTTCAGGACAATTTTAGGTGGAAACTATTTTTAAGGTGCGCATGCGTATCCTTATTAAGGGATTTGTAAAGTTTTAAATCTACACTGGCCTCTAAAGGAATACGAATCAATTAAACTTTTTAAAGTTTAAGCGACAATTTTTAACCAGCAAATATGACTACCTTAGCTAGCTACCCTGCATTCAAATTAATATGCCTTGTATATGTCTGTGTTCAAGTAAGTGGTTATCTGGTAAATTAAATGTACCGATGTTTATTTTGTGTTTTACTTTTACGTCATATGGCCTAAATATGATAACGGGGAGATTTATGCATTTTAACTCTATCACATTTTGTGCCTGTTAACAGTGCTAAACGGCCAAATGCGCATTTCGTCAATTAATGTCTCTTAAGTGATGTTTGACGCCCGTATATTTGGAAATCCAAAACCTAATACAAAGTTAAAGATCTGTCTGACCAAAAAGGACATAAAATATAGCCACATTCGGCTTTAACAAATCATGCTTTCTGGAAATTATCACAACAGTTAGATCCTGTATGCCTTTGATTTGTTAGTTTGTCGTTTTACCTGCGTCGCCGAAGGCGAAAGCAGGGCTAGTGACCGCTCGACTCTGTCAGTCCGTGTCAGTCTGTCCTTCTGTCCGAAAGAAAGAAAGAAAGATATTTGGTCTGAAGCTTCATAATGTTGAGTTGTACTGAGTGAGCAATTTTTACATCTGCCGTGCTGTCAGCTGTTGGAGTTAGATTATTGTATAAAATCTGTAACACCGTCCATCAAAGCTACAACTCTATCAACATCCTTTGACAAATTCCTGTACTGGTAAAACATGAACATCTTACATTATTTCTCACTGACAAAGGTTTTCACTGTAAATAATTGCAATATAATAATTTGGAAGAACCACTGCACAAAGTACTTTGATCACCCATTATAACTGTTGAGTGCCATTTAAAAATAACTACATTAATATATCTTGTGAGAGTCCATTTTTGAATGCGGATTGGAACTCTTGTTTCCTTGTGAGCAGCAACCCTTTTCCAACAATGAAATCGTGATAGGAAATACTAGCCCTGGAAAATCGTTGACCAAATGAGCAGTTAACAACTATAGGTCACCGTACGGCCTTCAACAATGAGCAAAACCCATACCGTATAGTCAGCTGTAATAGGCCACGAAATGACAAATGTAAAACAATTCAAACGAATAAACTAACAGCCTCATTGATGTACTAAACAATGAACGAAAAACAAATATGATATACAGCAACAAACGACAACCACTAAATTACAGGCTCCTGACTTGGGACAGGCACATACATAATGTGGTGGGGTTCAAAATGTTTGTGGGCGCCCAACCCTCCCCTAACCTGGGACAGCGGTTTAACAGCACAACATATCAATAAACTATAAAAATCACTTGAAAGGGCTAAGCTCATCAGATCGATACAAAGCCGAAAAACAAGCAACAAAAACACAGACCGAACGTGGAAGGGTATTTATACATCCCACAAGAAAAAAGACACTAAGAACAGATCGGAGATACTCGCATTTACTGACAGCTATTTCAAAGCCCATAACAAATTAAAAAAAACATGTATCCAAGACTAAAATATTAATCAGTACACATCCAATGGATTCGTGTAACGACGTCATTAACAGTCAAGGAAAAAACATGACATTGTGCAATGCCAACATAGGTATCGACACATTGTAACACCTTGAATATATGTATGTATATGACAATGATATTAGTTTGGTTTTAATCTACTGATAACAAAATCAAAATTTATACCAATAAAAACTATATTTAAAGATCTAATTACAGTGTTGAATTGGTAACCTTTTAGAATAAGTTAAGTTAAACTAGTCTGCCATCCACACACACTTGTATCCCCTACAATGCAGTTGACCGTATATTGAAGAGTCTGAAGGGCTACTCGGAAAACGTATCAATTAATTATTCTATACCTATATACAATTAAGGAAATGTGGTATGTCTTTAATGCGACAACTATCAACTAGAGACCATATGACTTGAATGTAACCAGCTATATTTATCGGTCAGCCTCTCAAACAATCAACGGAAACAAATCATTCCCCTAAACATGGATAGCTGTATAACAACACAACATAACAACAAACTGTAAAAACTGTAACCAGTCTGAAAGGCCTCGGCTAATACGTTCGGCACGAAATACACAAAACAATTAGCAAGACGAGAAAAAAAACCACAAAGTGTCATTTAAGAGTGTTCGCATGTATTGAAAACTAGTTTAAAATCAATTTAAACCAAAAAATAAATCATGTTTTCCAAGGCTAAACTGTTAATCAGTACAGCTTTAAAGGATTAAGTGTACTGATTAACAAATAGTTTAAGAAAACCAAGACATTTTGCAATACCTATATATATAGTGATCAATACGTAGTGCCGTAACTGATAAAAAAAAACAATATAGCAATACATACGGTACTTTTTCACTTTATTGGTCTTTTGGAAAATGTTGTTTGTGCTGTATTTAGACCCCTCTACCAAGAAATTTGTTTTGCATGCACATGTATAAAAATTGCGGTTTTTATCCAACGCAATCATAGGTTTGAACGTTGTTTTCAATTTAGACTTGTTTATATTTTTTCGTTTGGGCTTGTATTATATTTGCCTTCGGGTTTATATGATCCGTTCATCCTATTTCGACTCTTTCAAAATTCAAGAGTCTATCTTAAATTGAGATAAATTATATGGCTTTCCAAATACCGTTTCGATTTCTAACATCACTGAAGAGACATTAATTGTCAAAATCCGGATATGGTGTACAAATTTTTGCACCTCATGTTTGCGGTATACCATCTTTTCCGCAAGTTTTTTGTTTTTTTCTATTTGGTATTAGATTAAAATTAAGATCCATTTTGTTACATCTGTGATCCGTTTATTTGTCAATCGCCATGGCAGTCAGCAAGGTTTAAGAACATTCGTTGTTCGACCTGCTAGTCAAATGCGTTTTGTTAAAATATACTTTTTCACTTTTTGGTCTTTTGGAAAATGTTGCTTGTGCTGTATTTAGACCCCTATACCAAGAAATTTGTTTTGCATGCACACGTATAAAAATTGCGATTTTTATCCAACGCAATCATAGGTTTGAACGTTGTTTTCAATTTAGACTTGTATATATACATATATATAAAATAATGTAAGAACCGATACAGTCAATATTCAAATATCCTACTTCGGTGTTAATTTGATAACGGATCGTACTTAAATTTATGGGGTCTATATACAATATAACAGTAGAAATAAGGATGTCATATCCCGTTTGTAATATGTTTTTACATTTACTGACCGAACCAAATATTTGTATATTTTAACAAAATTCATAAAGGTTTTAAATGATTTGTAGTAATGGAATTCCTGACATACCAGTTATACTCGAATAAAGTTAATTGAAATCAAAATCTTCACTACAGATACAGGTATAACGAAGAAAACAAATTCTTCACATGTTTGAGCGAAAAAAAGAAATGCAAACTCGTTCCTTAATTTATTTCAAACTAAGATAAATAACTATTTAATAAATGGGAAAGTTTGCTAATGCATGGTATTCTAAGTAATGAGAGTACAATACATATGTGATTTTATGAATGATAAGATATGCAGAACGTACCAACTCTGTCGTGATTCATGTAGTCCTTGTCAATATTAGCTTAAAACATTGTAACATAAAAAAGGGAAACATATCTGCTCAGAGTAATTTATGAACATTAACATAACTGCGTCATTTAGAAAACAATTACAACAAACAAAATGGCAGTTTATGCAAAATGAACTTAAATAGACTATAGGTTACAAGAGCGCATCATTCGTTTACAATTAACCGGCAAGATTTCTAACCCAAGATGGTACTCAGAATAAAATCTTGTGCAGTTGACATTACTTTTAAAGTTTATCCATTTTGGATTAAAAAATGAAAGTAATATTTTACAAAGTGCAGAAAATATATTCCATTTTTGTACGTATGAGCCATAAAAAAAATTGCCTTGTCCATTGAACGAAAAAATAGACGTTCTTTTTCAACTGCATTTCAAGTCAACTTTGCCACATCCCCATATATATTTTTATTTTGGCTTTCATACAACGCTGACAGTTCTGGTAACAGGAACTGCTACCCATTTGTTCTAGTTTGTGCTGTCTTCAGGACATAAAAGATGGAACACCACGGGTACCCTTTGGAAAATGCAATCGAATAATTGCGCTCTTGTAACCAAGAACTTATTCTCAAAATTATGATATGGTAATAACCTGCACGAATTTGTTTTGTTCTTCAAAATTATGAACATACATGTGTATAAAACAAACGAGTATCATGTGTACAGTGTTGATTTTCTAGATTTCATGAGAGTATGCGACGTTTGCTACTCAACTTGTTATAAAATTTTCATGATACCATAACTTAAAATATCATGCATCATGATGAAAGAATTTGGAAAATATTGGAAATACGAAGGTGAAACTTTGCAAAATATAAATTTACAAATTCTCACGTATCAACTTTAGTAACAATAAAATATGTCTCTAACTGTCATATCTAAGACGTCAAAACGGCATCCTGAGAAAAAAAAATTATATGGAAATAATTGAATTATTTAATTCTTTTATGTATCAAAATATTTTTCAATTTCAAAACTTATGTAATTTCTAGCTTTCAAAGTAATCTATATGATGAAAATAAAATAATTTGATGAAAGCTTAGGCTATCGTTGTCATATTGGTGAGGGACACGTCACAGTTTTATAAAAAAAAAAGTTCTTACCTTTTTTTAAGTTTATTAAATTAATGCTTTTACTTTTTCTCGTACAATACTAATGCAGATTATCAACTAAGAAAATGTAAGTGAAATAATTTGGAATATATCCTTTCAAATATTTGAGAAAACAGTTTTTTGATCCGTTTCAAATAAATTGTTCAACCTGACAAAATTTAGTTAGTCAATACAAAATCAATTTTGGTATACATGTATATGTTAACATAGTTACTAGCAATACTATAACTGTGTCTTTGATGCTGTAAATTTCATTTTCTATATGTAAAACTGACGTCACAGCTTTAGGTATAAGAAGATGTTTTTTAACCTGCTTTACTTCTACTTGAAGAGATGAGTTCATATCGTCTTGCTTTCAACCTGGGTAAAGTTCAAATAGTTTAAATTCTACCTTTTTAATATCATATTAACACTTAATAAAGCAATAACCGTCAGATTAATTTAGGATATATATATGTTACAATAGATGTGTATAATTAGGGATGATGTAGAATCCCTAAAGATGATTATGTATAATCACTGGTAACTTTAGTGATTATATATAAATACTAAAATTTTCTGGAATTATGCATAATCACTAGATAAAATGTCAGGGATTATACATAATATTATAACTGAAATGAAGAGACAACGAATAAAAGTTAAATAATTCATTCTATAAAATCATATCTTAGACTAGACATATCTAAAGCATCAATATTAAAATGTAAAGCACAATACTCTGATATAAATCTTTTTTTTTTTACAAACTGCATTGTAAATTTGGATGACATGTAATATTGCAGAATAAACAATTAACCATTTTCATGCTCTACTTTTCGTTTTTTTTGCAACAACATCCACTTAAAAAAACGTGTCCTTCATATATTGAATCTGATTTAACAGCATTAAAAAATCAGGGATTCTACATAATCCTTAATTATAACAATTCACTTATGAAAATAAGAAGATGTGGTGACAACTCTCCACAAGAGACTAAATGACACAGAAATTAACAACTATAGGTCACCGTACGGCCTTCAACAATGAGTTGAACCCATACCTTATAGTCAGCTATAGGCCCCGAAATAACAAATGTAAAACAATTTAAATGAGAAAACTAACGGCCTGATTTATGTACAAAATAATGAACGAAAAACAAATATGTTATACAGCAACAAACAACAACCACTGAATTACAGGCTCCTGACTTGGGACAGGCATATGCAGAATGTGGCGGGGTTAAGCTAGTTTGATGGCGCCAACCCTCCCCTAACCTGGGACAGTGGTTTAAAAGTACAACATAATAGCAAACTATAAAAATCAGTTGAAAAGGGCGAAACTCAACAGACATCTAACAAAACACAGAGTGACGTGGCAGGGTACTTATACATCCCCACAACAAAAAGACACTACGTACAGATCTGAGAGTACTCGAAGTTACTGACAGCTAGTTCAAAGCCAATAACAACTAATAAAAAAAATCAAAAATCATGCATCTAAGACTAAAATATCAATCAGTACACATCCAACATCCAATGGATTTAGTGTAAAGACGTAATTCACAGTCCGAGAAAAAAACACGACCTTGTGCAATACCAAGATACAGGTTTCGACAGATTGTAGAGCATGAATGTGCATAAAAATAATGTGGTTTGATTTTAATTTACTGATAACAACATCAATATTAATACCAATAAAAACAATATTCAAAGATTTAATAATAGTGTTGAATTGGTAACCTTTTCATTGCTTTAAAAATAAGTTTATTTAAAGGGTCAATAAGTTAACCTGGATCGTATCTAAATTTCCAGGCTCGGTAAACAACATCTCCATAAAAAATAGGATGTGCTATCCCGTTTGAAATAAGTTTTTTACAGGTACATCCAAACTTCCAAACCAATCTTTATATCTTTGGAAGAATTTAGTAAAGGTTTTAAGAAATTTGTGGTAACGAAATCCCCGACTTAAGGGCATACGATACAGTTTTGATCCCACGGTGATTTTTTTACGACCATTGGCATACAAGCTATTTTTTATCTAACCAATGCAAATATGTAATAAAAAAATATACCTTCATGTGCTAAATTTAGAGATAGTTGGGGTCAAAATTTTGGAGATTTACTTAAAATTTCAGTTTCTCAGACATTTCTATCCTTTGAATAGACACACTTAACCTTACTATTTTAAAAGATAACTACATGCGGATTTTTGTAAAAAAAGCTTTGGAATATCTTCGTTACAAAAGTAGGATCTTAATTTGTGAAACAATTTTTTGTACATAATTCATTTTATTTAATATTCTTGATTTTAGAAAAAATGGCATTTTTCGCTGTATATTTATCTAATTTAAAAAACGTTTGTTTTCAGACATCACACATTTCAGCAAATCATTGTTAAGCAATAGTGTACACTCTTCAACGGTTTAGCTACAAGTATTTCATAAACGTAACATTATCATTGATCAATGTTAATGAGGTTAAGGTCAGATGCGCAACATCAGACGGACATGTACACGATATAAACATTATATAAACCAAATGAAAATCCGTTTGATTTAAGAATCAGGATCAAAACAACGGAAACTTGACGTTGATTAATAAACCTTGACCATAAGGTCAAAGACAGATGAACCCTACAGACAGACATATACGCCTTGCAGTTTAGTATTTAAGATACGGAGTTGACCACAAAATTTGTACTTGATCACTGATCAATGAAATGCGGTTAAGGTAAGATGCACCCTTACTGACGTACATGTAGACCTCGTATGGATCTCAAATATAAAATGTAAATATCCTATTAATTATAATCATTTAGAAATGCATATGACAGTTTTTTATGCATTCGAATAACCATCAAAATTAGGTTATAGGACAATGGACATATGGTAGACAGAAACGTCAGAACATATGGCATCAGTATAAAAGCTTAAGGTGTGAAGAATCAAGAACACTGAAATATAAGGCTTAATTCAAATAGTTTACGCTATCGTCGCTTCCGAATAATCATCTGTATGTCTTGCATTCTATGCCTTTCATCGCAGGCGAGACAAACACAAATTGTTTCTCACTTGTCTGTTTAAATAAGAAGCCTTATGAACTTAAATACAATGAGGGATATATCTTCAGGATGATATGACTATTGATAAATGTGCTACATATGACCTTTGGATGCTTTTGCGTTTGTCTCTGTTTCTGGATACAAACATAACCTCACTGCGATACAATTCGCTCATATTTCAGGATACAAGTAAGCTCCCTGTTCGCTCATGATATATGTCATTCACTAGTACTGGATCGCTTCCACTGCTGGTTGGCTGTTCGTCCGCGAGGGTATCATCAGCCCAGTAGTCAGTGTTTCGGTCCAAGTATTTCTAAAATTCCTTGTTGATAAGTTTGTTGAAACTATTTAGAAATCAAGGATCAAGCTCCTCGGACAAACTTGACTTTAGACGAATTATGCTATTCTTTTGGTCCCTTTCGGTATAATAGCTTCTATCGTGGCTACGCGTTTTTACATTCCTTGCGTTCAAATGTCTAGTTTTGAGCATTCCCAATGAAGATATATCCAGCAAAAACTTCGGACACATGAAAATTATAAAGCGTTATTTTCATTAATATCTAATAAAATGAAGACATTCTTTACAATTCTCTCTGCTTTCATAATCATAATCTTCAACAAGGAAATAAAATTCCTAATATTTACTTATAGAAATAACTAAATGCATACTCAATGTTTCCACTGCTTCCTATAAGTCATTTTTCATTTTTAACTTTGGTATCTGCTCCCTTTTTACTGATTTTAGTATATCTCATCCACTCTAAAATAATAAGTAGAAACATATACTAGTCAGAACAATTAAATATAAAATTAAACCCTAAACAAATTTAGATACCGTGTAACCGTATATCTTTCACTTTTGTTATTATTTTCTCCCATTGATAGGAAAAGGTGTGGGTATGCAAAACTCGTTCGGGCAGTTAAAAAATTTAACCAGTATGCTTGTGACATTGTTTTGTAGAAAAAAATAGTTGATTCAGGGTACAAAAGTACTTTGATTGTTACATACTTTATTGTTGTGTCTATTCATTTGTAACTTGTTTAAAGCAGCGTCATTTATTTTTTATCCAGTTACGGATTTTAACACTTGAAAGATCATAAAACATACGAAAAAAGCAAGTACTTAAAATCCGCTTGTTAACGAGTTACAATACTGTTACACTCATGAATAATTAAATTTCGATTAAAGTTTTACATGTTGAAAGTCTATCAATTGGTGAGGGAAGAAACCTATCCGCAACAGAATGGTAATCATATATTGCTCACGTAGTTGTTTGTTAGTTCTTGTACTGTTGCTATGGACTTTCTCTACTTAGAATTAAAAACAATTGAATATTGGTTTGCACACGTGAAAAAAAGAAAATCAAATATGTCAAAAGCTCAGACACCCTTAAGTAAAATTTCATGTTATCTCTAACTTGGACATGCCTGAATGGAGAGTATAAATCTAACACTTGGATGTTTAAGATTTCCTTGCTTTTCATTTTTCCGTTGTTAGATACTAAATGTCTCCTCAGAAAGCCACAAATATTGAACGCTGGGTTACAAAATTGATTTTATTTTGATAGTCTTAAAGATAAAGTTATAATTCAGTTATCACATAAACTTAATATTATAAATGATCCTTGACAATGAGGTCAAGGTCAGATAATCCAAACCAGACAAACATGTAAACCTTACAATCATTCCATGCTAATGAACCATAAAAGGACAGATAATACCTAACAGAGAGATATGTACATCTTACAATCTTTTCCTATACCAAATATAGTTGACCTATAATTGATTAACAGACCAAAACAAAAAAACTGTACATTGACCAATGAACCATGAAAATGGGGTCAAGGTCTGATGAAACCTGTCAGGTTAACTCTGTCTGACGGATATGAAAACCTTGCAAGGAACCCATATACTAAAATGGTTATCCTATTACTCATAATTTATGAGAAATTCATATGACAAAACAACTATACTTTTTTTTAAGCAGTCGCTTAACCATGAACAATTGAATAATGACAATGGAAATATGACAGACGGAAACTTCTTAATTTAAGGCATATGTATACAAGTTATGAAGCCTCCAGATATTTTACCAACTGAAATATATAGCTTTATACAAATAGTTTTCACCGACTAATCCGCGGCCGCATAACTTATTCCTTTGTCTTGCATTATGCGACCTTCTTCGCAGGCGAAACACACAACAGTTTTATCAGAAAAGTCAAACCGCCTTGAGAACTTTAAATATGAGTGAATTGCAACGTTACCTTTAGTACAATTACATAATTCTTGGAACTGGAAATCAACACACAAGATGAGGTAACGACCCTTTAGTAAAGAAAAAAACGCAAATGGTATGACTTCAAATTGCACAACATGTAGATTATGAATAACCATCATCAAGTACGCATGCGACAAAGAAAATTGAAAAGCCAAAAATATAAAATGCGTGGAAGCGTAAGAGCTACAGGAGCGTAAGAACTACAGAATCCCTAAGCAAACGACCAAAATAGTCTAAGGTAAACCTTCTCTGGATGAGTCCCAACATTAGTTTTCTCACAATTTTTATGAACTATAAATTTCCAAATAAAATTCATCATTTAAATTATGCAAGTACCGAATCACTAACGCTACTTGGCTGATTGATCCCCGATCGATCACTGTCATCGGTACTGACCCACATGTAGTAAGAAACAAATGATAAAATGTTCACGTGCGCATAACATGTGTATTTAAAAAAAACCTTCATCAGTTACGCTCTTGACCAAAATGTTGGTAAGCTAAAATATGAAACATCTAGGAGCATGAAAATCGAAATATTCTAAACAAAGCTGCCGAACTTTTCTTGCTCAACTTTACCTTTGGGACTTCTATTTTGCTTCCTTTAGGTAATAATATTGATTTGTAACTTTCAAACAGAAGTTTATTCTTTCTAAAAAGGTACGGAGTGCTTCGCAGTATCAAACACTACTTCAACATGAAGCAATAATTGTTGATCGGGTCTTGAATACTCATCCTGTAATTTAATATCTTCTCCTGTCCGGGACATGTTCCCTATTCTATATAGCATTCTAGTGGATCGAATTTAAGCCACATCATACGGCAACTAATCATAATCAATATTTGTTAAGGAACAATTTCTAGATGCCGTGAATATCAAATGAAAGTACTAGCTTTGCATCGTGAATGATATATCACATATATAAATCTTGACAGTACCAAAACTCTGGCTAATAGGTGAATGGTACTCTCACATATTACTCAGACGAGTGGTACTAAAACATACAATATGATTTCCATAAGCACAACACGTGAGTCTCATCAATATCATTTGAAAATTCTATACTTCTACATTTAGAAATTTGGTTTTTTATGACCCACAACTTCTATGAAACTACAAAATGGCAATGCTATATTGTTGATGATGTTATTTGCTTGTAACAATGTTCATCTCCTAAACTGGCATCCGGAAAATTTTCAAAGCATACTTTTACCCTAAAGTTAAAGTTTCCAGAGCCTGTATTTGATTCGTTTTAAAACTGTTCTTGCACATAAGCAACTAACTCCCTGTTAAAAAATGAAAAAATGACTTAGAACCAACAACATACAAGAACAGCCTTGAATAAAAATTAATTGGTCTAAGACAAAAAAAAATGTTAAGAACATTTCGAATCGGATATGTTCAGCTTGTAGTTATCCCATACACCAAATATTACTATAGTATCTTGGAAACAAACTCAACCAATTCCAATCAGACAAGTATTCAATAATAGACACAAATAGAGTATCTCTTAATATCCTTACTATAAATTTCTACCTACCATCTTCTTCTAAATGTATGTAGGTACGTATACATTCATCAGCATCGTAATTACACTGACGTAACATAGCCAGTATGTCGTTTCGGTCATTCCAACCTGGCAAAGCTTTCTCAACCTGATCCAATAATTTAATAATCTGTTCATGGTGTAACTCATAACCAATCGGCATTCTCATCCTTTCACCGTTATCATGGTCATAAAAACAATGGATGTTGTGTTTTCTCTGAAATGTTCAGAACTAATTGAGTTCGTAGCACAATTTTTCAATCGACTAGAAATGACTGATCGTTCTAAATAATATACTTAAATGGAGTTTTTCAATTTAGTACATTCTCGTTCAGACAATTCCATATTCATACATATTTTATTACCAATGACTTTTATTCTGAAAATGATTTTTTTTCTTTTAGAAATATATATATAAGGTCGTGAAAAGTATGAATTCCAGTTGTACATATGAATCTATCTTCATACAAGATAGAACTTAAGACCACCGCATACATACTTGTAAATCTTATTTCAAAAGGACAAAAATACATTACGCGACTATAGTTCCAAGATAGTCTTACGGATAATAATTTGTATAAGTGTACGTGCATCATCCTCTAATTTATAAACTTTAAATTTAATTCTAGAGATAATTTCAGTTGTCTAAATCTTGTAAATATACCGAAAATGATATTCACTTACAAGTTCAAAACAATTTGTAATTACTGTTAATTGTCAGAACTACTTGTGATAAATATAGGAAAAAAGAAACTTCAATACAATGTTTACAGTGTAGGAACGAAAATGACTTAAATGTACACAATTTTGAGAAACGAAATTCGCACAGCTTGGAGTGACATCAAAACAATAACGATTCGTTCTACTCATTGTTTAAGGTCATCCAATGACATAAAACTGCTTCCCGTCATTTGAAGTAGTTATGGCAATCATAACATTACACATCATAATTTTAAATTTGAACGGATCATATTAACGTTGCCCCATGATTTATCGAAATCTAGTAAGATTTTTGCCGTTATACTGTCCCGAACTACCATACATTGATAATTTACGATTTCACTCATCATTTATATCATGCAGGAATACAGTCGAAGTAATACGTGAACAACAAATATTGAAGCCTGATTGAGGGTGAAGGGAACACACATTTTACTTGGTAACGGTATCTTACACAACCATGGCAAAAGATAAAAAACTTCGAGAAAACAAATAAAAGAGAAGCGAAAGATACCTAAGGAATATTTAAACTCATAAGTCGGAAATAAACTGACAACACCATGACACAAAAAACTAGAGGCTCTAAAGAGCCTGTGTCGCTCACTTTGGTCTATGTGCATATCAAATAAAGGACACCCTCCAACATTGTAGACGAGAATAGACTTCATGACAAAAATCTCTATTTTGTTGATCTTGTACTACTGATCTTTTAGTCTGTTTAGTTTCTCTCTACCTTTTTTAGGTTTTTGCTCAAAACACAAAAGAGGGTTGAAACCATTCCTCAATTAAGGACAATCACTCCTATGAAGAGTGACAGTCTACTAACAATATCGGTAAAATTTGATTTTTTAATAGATCTTGCCTTGCTGATCATTTTTGTGATATTAAAGTGTTTATTTATCTATTATAATTTAAATCATATAAGGCATAACGGGAAAAAAATGTTTCTCTCTAAATATCATAGTTTTCATGATAATAGGCAAAAATGAAAAAAAATGGTAAAATTTGCCATTTATGGGCAATAACTCCTATAAGAATTTGTCTTACAGTTTTGACGTATATAGACAATTGGAAGAGCTCATTATGCTAAACATTTTTGCTCCATTCAGAATTTCTCTATTTATGACGGTTCAAAAAATAATAGACAAAACTTACATTTTACCCCTATGTTCTATTTTTAGCCATGTCCGCCATGTTGGTTGGTAGGCAGGGTCATTGGACACATTTTTAAAACTAGATAGCCTAATGATGATTGTGGCCAAACTCCTGAAGGGGTCAATTGACCATTATGATCATGTTAGCCGTTTTGTAGATCTTACTTTGCTGAACATTATTGCTGTTTACACTTTATCTCTATCTATAATAAAATTCAAAATAATAACCAACAACTGCAAAATTTTCTTAAAATTACCAACTCAGGGGCAGCAACCTAACTACGGGTTGTCTAATTTGTCCGCAAATTTCAGGGCAGATAGATTTTAACCTGATGAACATTTTTATCCCATGTCAGATTTGCTTTAAATGCTTTAGTTTCAGAGATATAAGCCAAATCTGCATTCTACCCCTATGTTCTATTTTTAGCCATGGCGGCCATCTTGGTTGGCGGGCCGGGTCATCGGACACATTTTTTAACTTGATACCTCAATAATGATTGTGGTCATGTTTGGTTGAATTTGGCTCAGTAGTTTCAGAGTAGAAGATTTTTGTAAAAGTAAACGGACGACGACGACGACCGATCGACCGACGAAGGACGCCAAGTGATGAGAAAAGCTCACTTGGTCCTTGGGCCAAGTGAGCTAAAAAGGACAAAAGACAAAACACAGCAAAATAAAAGACTGAGCAACACAAACCCTACCAAATCCTGGGTTGATCTCAGGTGCTCCGGAAGGGTAACCAGATAATGCACATTGTACAAGGAGTATAGTCAAATTTCAAACTATCGTTTCAGAGCAAGTGGGTACACTGCAGATGTAAACATTGCTTTACCGCTACAACATAACATTATCAAGCTGCAGATAAAATATTAATTGATTCCCTTTCACAGGTCAGGATGACTAGATTTCCTGACGTCAGTATAATTTGCATAGTAATTCACAAATTAGAAGGTAAACATGACCAATCGATCCAATGAACTAGAATGCCTTGTGGGCTTCTACGAGTTTACTACCACTGAAAAACACGTGGAATTAGTTGGAAAACTGCCAACTTATATGGGTCTGAGACTCGCATAATAAATATGTTTGTTCAGCCAATGTATTAAATGTAAAATATATAACATGATCTTCAATTTGCATGCTCAGATTAAAAAGAAATATGGCTTTCTGAAAGGTGTTTGTGTTTGTTTCTTAGAGACAAAGTAATAAATACATAATATATGAAATCTTCGTTTAATCATCAATAATATTAATGGCTATAATTTTGATAATTCAAGCACTCGCTTCTTTGCATAGAAACAACTATTCATTAATCTGAGCATGGAACGAATACTTTATATCATTGACTATAAATGTAGATACCAAAGATGAAAAACTGAGCGAAATTGTTTATCCTGCAATGCATGAAAATATGTGTTGTATTTCAGTAAATAACTCGTTTTCTCAGTTGATCGTAAACACGTAGTAAAATTAAGAATGGAAATGGGGAATGTGTCAAAGAGACAACAACCCGACCAAACAGCAGAAAACAGCTGACGGCCACCAATGGGTCATCAACACAGCGAGAAAATCCCGCATCCGGAGGCGGGCTATAGCTGGCCCCTTAACAAAATGTGTACTAGTTCAATAAAAATAGACGTCACACTTAACTCCAAAACATATAAATGAACAAAAACTAAAAAACATACAAGACTAATAAAGGACAGAGGCTCCTGACTTGGGACAGGCGCAAAAATGCGGCGGGGTTAAACATGTTTTGTGAGATCTCAACCCTCCCCTATACCTCTAGCCAATGTAGAATAAACAAACACACAGTAATACGCACAGTAAAACTCATTTCAAAAGAAGTCCGAGTCCGATGTCAGAATAGGTAACTTAAGAAACTAAGTAAAATAACAATGATACATAAATTAACAAGGGACTACTTACAGTAACTGACGACATTCCAGCTCCAGACCTCGATTAAACTGATTGAAAGATTATGTCTTCATCATATGAAAATCAAGCACAATCCCTCCCGTTAAGGGTTTAGTATCATATCATCACAAAATATATGAGAAGAACATAACCCGTATCATGCCAACAACTGGTTTTAGAAAAATGTTTTTATTTCCGATGCAAAGACCCTATGAGTAAATCAATATTAATACCAAAATATGCCATCTTTAATGATCTGACAACGGTATCATAACTACATCCCTCCTGAATAAGTCTGTTTAAAGGTTTGGTATGCTTTTAAGGTGAATGTCGACATATTTGGGCTTTGTATAGAATATTACCATAAAAAATTGGATGTGAAATACCTGAACGTATAAGGTGTCTGCATGTTGATTTATATTTACGAATGATGTCCTTGTACCGATGATAAAATTTAGTAAATGTTTTGACTAGTTTGTGATATCAAAAACCCTGGTGTAATAATTTTTCAGTAATACAGAGATTTTTTTCGTTAAAATCAAATACGTTGTTACATACACGAGCGAATCGAACAAGTTGAGATAAATAAACACCATAAAACAGCGACAAGGGCACGTCACCATCTAAAAATGGATAATTACCAATAGGAAATGTTCCATCATGCATAGTAATTAATTTAATGGATTCGTCAAAAACCCAGGTAAAAAAAATTGCGTCATACGTAAATAAACAATAATTTTTGAAAGGACATTAGTATGCTGATTTATCATGAATATCCATAAAAGAGAGTGTTCCCGATCTGTTTCATAGAAGCCAATGAAATTGACGGATAGAAAGACGGACGGACGGAAGGACGGACTGACGGACGAACGGAATCGAGCGGTTACTAGACCTGCCTCCGCTTTCGGGGACGCAGGTAAATATACAGATGTGAGGCGACTTAACGACAGCAAAACAAAAATCAACTTTGGTATTTTTGACATCATTTGTGAAGTTCAATGCAGTACAGGGAGGACGATGAAAACGCATTTTGAAATAAACTTAGATAAAGAGTGTGTAAACTATTGGTAGATCATTTTTTTTATAAACTTCTAGTGCCAATTATGAAAAGAATGTCCAATATGATAGCACATCGAACGTTACAATAAATTAGCTAGGTAGGATTTGCAGATCGGATCGACCAAATTGAAAAAAAATAAAATTACAGTTTTAATAATCCTTATATTTAATTTTGTAAGTCACAAATCCCACGTACCTCTAGAGGAATATTTCATACTACATCTTATGGTATATATAAAAACAAATTTAGGGGGCTTAAAGTATGATTTAAGAGAGTAATACTGCCTAGTTTTAGTGACGGTTACCTTGACCTTCGACCAGTAACTGGATTTTCTACCCCAGGAATATAGATAGTCTTAGCTATATATTTGGCAAAACTTTTAGGAATTTTGGGTCCTCAATGCCTTAACTTCGTAATTTGTGTGTACTTTTTTACTTTTTGGATTCGAGCGTCACTAATGAGTCTTTTGTAGACAAAACGCGCGTCTGGCGTACAAAATTTCAATCCTGTTATCTATGATGAGTTTATTTCCAAACCAATAGGGATCTTCCTCAAACTGAATGTTACCATATATCCAAGAAAGTTTGCAATCCCATATGCAGTATTTTATTTAACATCCTTAAACAACTTTTCTGATGTAATTGAGGTCTAGTTTTAGTTACCTTGAGCTTGACTTTAGAGATATTGATCTTAACTCAAAATCAAGAGGAATCTTTCTCTCATTATATCTGACCATTTATAAAAGTTAAATTGCAATCCAATGTGAAGTATTTGTTTTAGCATACGGAAACTATTTTCCTGTACAAATTGAGGTCTAAATTATATATTATGACTTTTATCTTTCAGCAAATGACCATAAAACCCAAAGAGATCTTTCTCTCAATATGCGTGATAATATATTTAATTGAGGTCCTTAATAAGTATTTGAATAATCATTCGGAAACCCTTTTCCTGCACAAAATTTCGATCAAATTTAAGTAACTTTGAATCTTGACATTGAACGTAGTGTAACGTGTAACCAGTAGGGCGTTTATATCTCAAACGATTCGTTCCAGTAAATACTTCGATTCAAGCTGTCCATAAACAATATAATGATACCAAAAAGCCGTTAACTATATATCTATGTTATGCACAATGAACTGAAATATACACACGGGCTCTTTGCTGATATAAAGTAACAACGAACAATTATATATATACATTCTAATAGCCTGTCCTCCGGATATGACTGTCTGTCACTATAAGACAGTGTGGCTGGTTCAGTCTGTCTCTACCAGACAGTGCGTGCTGGTACCAGCCTGTCCTCCGAGTGGAACAGTCTGTTACTTCCAGACAGCAGACAGTGCGGGTTGGTACAGCTTGTTCTCCTAGTGGGACATTCTGCTCTGTCAATCCGATCAACTTGTACGTTCACTTTGTACCCAGTACAAAATGTCCTCCGAATATTATAGCTATACTAGCACGTAATTCAACCGCCGTACGCTCTGTTGATTATTGAATATTGACAGCTCATTCACAGCCAATTGACAGCTCTGAGTGACGTTTCTCATTTACCCATAAACCCGTGGTCGACTACATTATTTCCTTGATAGGGGTGTTCTCTAAATGTTCCCCTTACGGAACATAGAGAATTCCTTACGAACACGCCTATAACCTTCGACCTGGCCATTAACTTTCCCGCCAAACGTCTAAATCTGCATAACGCTTTCTCCAGCGTTAATCATATATCGTTACAATAAGATTCTTCGTATTTGTAACCTTAGTGATCAATAAATATTACAGTGATTCTCAAAATCAATAAAGATATTTATTTCATTATGTGAGATCATAGAAAAATATATAACCTCATCACCCCTTCCCCACTACTTCATAGAATGGGAAATAAAAGTACAAAACTGCTTTTTACAATACTTTCCGACTAAAAATATGTGTTATTTTGCACATAACAGACGTACAATATGTATTGAAAATAATTTCGACAGACGGATTGGTTAATTCCAGTTTCTTGTTGCAACCTTGGAAAATTCTAGATCACGAAGAAAATGGACAAAATATTCAAACAAATTTCGAAGTATTTTTTATTGCAGTTAGACTGATATAAAAATCTTCAATAACGTGTAGATGACTTGTTATAATTCAAAGCATTCATTCTTACAAAACACGTTGATAGGGGGTCGTAGACAACAGGTAAACAACACAAAAATGGACCTCAATATGTTTTTTAATTTTGTTTTGTTGGGTTGCTGTCTGATTGGTATATATTTCAAATTTCTTGTTATTCATATTTCTATAAAACATGAAAAGGGATAACAGTTATCGAAAAAAATACTGCACAATACAACGCACTTCATCAATCATCAACACTCGTATCCTATATGAAAAATCAAACACGGAAAACAAAGACAAACAATAACGAATACATTGTCCAGATAACCTGAGTAAGTACAGGTACAAAATATGATGGTGGGAATCAACCAGTTCTATGTAAGCACAAACCATCTTATTTGCCTATCGAGACAATATGTCGTAAAACTAAAACACACAATAAAATTCCTAACAGTGTAGCAACTAACAGGATGGCTAACACGGAGGGGAAAAAGCATATACATTTTTAATTTGGAAAGCAGGAACAATTTATGCTCTCCACTACAGGTAGACACCAATCAAGAAACAAAACAATCAAAAACAATACCCCTAGCAGGGACTTTATATCTTTTAAACTTTTTATGTAATTTTTTTTTTGTCTTCATAAAAATGTCTACAAAGTTTTTGAATGAAACCAACAATATTTCTGTATCGGTGATATCATTCAAAGGACTATCAAAGACTTTTAAGAGTATGTAATTGATTTCAATTTTGCCACCGTTGTCTCTTTGACACATTCTCCATTTCTATTTTCAATTTCATCATTATTGGCCATTGACTTCGATCTAACTGCGAGCGCACCGTGTGACTTTTCAACGACCGGATAAAACCAAGAGTACGGATAATTAGCTTCTGAATTGTACATGGAACAATCGTATGTTAGGTGGATTTATTACAGTTGTGAACTATGAGACCAACTGATGATAATGTGAGATCAGTAAATGTGGTTTAAAAACATGGTGTAGTAGAACATAAAAATGCCAATTTAGTTTTTGCAATATTCACCCTGTTACATTTTACTCTTAAAATATTGCAGGTTCTTCCGAATCTGTTACAATGCATAATAATATTGTACCAAATTATTTAAGAACCATTTTGAAAGCCAAAACTTCCAAAAACGGTTGAAAGCATAAAAAACCAAAATGGCCTAAACAAAACAGACAAAACCGTCGATGATTAATTGTGTCGTAGGGAGTTACAGCCTTAGCTGTAAAAGAATTACATTATTTATTAACTGGACATTTCTGAAACAAAAGTAAAGTAGCCAAACAGTAAAATACATTCCAGTACTTTTGTTTTTGTTTCTCATCTTCGAAATGAACTATAAAATATATTCCCTTTAGATTTGTTATTTCTAAAGCTGTCTTAATATGTCACCTGGGGAATCTTGTACATACAATCATATTTACTGTCAAATATAAATTGAAAATTGCAAAAAAAAAGGAAATATTTAACAACTATACCTGGAATATATATGTTGGAATTTTCCCTTTTTTAGGATGTTTCATTACTCCTTCTCTATCATCTTTGTCTGCAGACTCTGTACTTTTTGTTTGTGGTTCCTGAAAAATGTATATTTTGGCGTATGTGACCCCTACTCATAATAATAAAAACACAAACGAAAACCAGACAAACAAAAACGACAAAAAAAAAGAAAAACTTAAATATCAATATCTAGGATGAATTTATTTGAAAGATTTAAAATTTGCATTGATTTTATATTTGTTTACAATTTTCCCTTAATTTGTCTTTAAAAGCTTAGGATTTATTGTTCACTACTGGTTGCTGAATATCCAAGGAGAAAAAAGTATTTCATACATTGTCGAGATTATAGAAATTAGGAAAAAAAAAGACATAGTCATTTCAAAAAATATTTTTTTACTTAACACAGGCGTTCTTAAAAAGGAATCATAGTACTTAAAATTATAATGCTTATATGGCTCTTTTGCAATGTTATAATTTTAATTGTTTAATTTTTCATGTCGTTCATCAGATTTTAATTATTTTGTTTCAGAATGAATAACTGCAGTCAAAATGGTTTTTATCATACCCCCTCCTTTCATTGATGCATTCTTAAAACAATGCAAGCCTTTCAAAATAATGCTAATTTTAATGACAAATGAACAATTTAATAAAATAAGGAACTTTTAATGCAGAATGATCACTTGTAAAATTCAAAGATATAGGTACTGATTTTGTCAGACTAATGTCTTACAAACATCTAGATGGTGTTCTTTTGTAGATTTATAATACAATTTATATTTGTTACTCATAGAGCACCAAAATATTTTATTCTCAATAACCATAAGTAAACCAAAACTTACATTTTCGGCATCCTTGACAACAGAGTTTGTGATCAACAGACCCTCTTGGTACCACCTCTTTGGAAATGGTTGCCATTCCTGGTAACATAAAATGAATAAATCCTAATTCACGAAAACATTTATAGTAACAGAGTATATAATTTTAAAAGAAAGTAAAACAAAGCTCAAACTTAATTTCTGAATTTGGCGTTTTAAACAAAATTATGAAAGTAACATTTGAAATGCATATTTCAGCTGAACGTAAAGTTACAAAAAGATCAACGAATTAACTCTCATGACAAAACATTCAGCAACACGAACTCACGCATGTCCGATGATATATATGTATTATAAATATATGTTCTTTTTTATTTATTAATGCAATATTTTATTTTTTTAGTCTTTTTTATTTTTATTTTGAACAAATATCTTTAAACTAGAGGCTCTAAAGAGCCTTTGTCGCTTGTCTGGAATTGTGTGCATTTTCAACCAGAGCCCCTTTCCGACATTGAATAATATTTTATAATTTATGACTAAAATCTCATTTCTTATCTTGTATTGCTGATAATGTTTTCTACCATTTATAATAGTTTTTGCAAGAAACACTAACAGTGAGTCAAAATCATTTTTAAAGGCAAAACTCATATAAGAAATTTACTGACAATTTCGTCTTTGTTGAAAATTTGTAGATAATGGCTTGTAGATAATTGTCACTGTTTACAGTATCGCTTTGATTTTCTATCAATGTTCCACAGAAAAAAGGTTAAATAGTCATTTTAGTACAATAATTCATATAATCAGTCAACTGCCAATAACGGCTATATAAAGATAAGAAGATGGTGTACGGTTGCCAAAGAAACAACTCTCCATCAGAGACCAAATGACGTAGAATAAGGCAACTATAGGTCACTGTAAGGCCTTCAACAATGAGAAAAACCCATACCGCTCAGCAAGCTATGATAGGCGCTGTATAGACAATTATAAAATAATTCAAAAAGAACTATCTATAATAATTTTAAAGATAATAGGCAATTGTATTTTTTGTTGACTAGTTGATCTTTTTGTCATTTTATTCTTGGCCATTGTGTTGTCTGTTATTCGTTTACTTATGAATTTTGATTGTCCCATTGTCATCCTCTGGTATCTTTTATAAAAATTATTAAACAAAATACGATTTTTCCTACGAACCATTCTGATTGTTGTAACAAGTAAAAATATTTCTTAAAAATTATTTTACAGAACATTCATCTACTTTACTGTCTTAAACCGGGTTTCTATGAAAATACGATTTTTCATTTGGGGTACTACGACGAGTGACTCCAGCCGGTTTCCATGAAAAGGCTTGAGAAACATTTAACAAAGCTTTTATCATTTCAGATAATGATGTAAAATATCTATATTGACAATTTTTACGGTTGTCTTTTAGAAATTACGGTCTATGATTGATTGGAAAATGGCATTTAATGTGTTTCCGTGGAATATCTTGTGAACCGTTCAACCATTTTTTTTCTTGAATGTAAATATGTTGATTCGCATGACAAAATGGCGGCCACTCTGGATTGGTTTCGACAGTTTTTTTATGCCGTGCAGAAGGTATGGTCCATCATTGATTTAGAAATGACACCAATAAATGTAAGTCATTTTGATAGCATCTTGTATCGTTATTGGTCAGTTTTGTTCGATTCTACAATATTCAATAATGTAAATTATCAACAAAAATCAAATATGATATACAGGACCAAACTTGGGTGTGGACAGGCACATACATAATGTAGCAGGGTTCAAATTGTTTGCGGGTGCCAAATCCTTCCTTTACCTAAGACAGTGGTGTAACAGTACATTATAAAAACAAACTATAAAAATCAGTTGAAAATGGCTAAACACATCAGATCGATATACAAATCACAAAAACAACTAACAAAACCACAAAAGACACAAGAAACATATACGAGAGAAGTTATGTAATGATATCTGGTTCAAAGCCAATAATAACTAATAACTAATAAAAACATCAGGTATCTAAGACTAAAATGTCAATCAGTACACATTCAACATCAAATGGACTTCGTGTTAAGATGTTATAAACAGTCAGAGGAAAAGATGACCTTGTGAAATTCATTAATATAGGTATCGACATAATGAAGGTCCATGAATGTTCAAAACTGTCATCGTCATTTAAGGCGATAAATCCTATAAAGAGTGGACTGACGATTTCAGTCATAAGACTTAATTGGAGATCTTCTCTTACTGTAAATTTTTGCCGTTTCAGTTTCTATCTATCATAGTTTTAAAGCTATTAGGCAATTGCATTTTTGTTGACTCATTAATCTTTTTGTCATTTTATTCTTGGCCATGGTGTTGTCTGTTATTCGTTCACCTATAGATTTTGATTGTCCCATTGGCACCCTCTGGTATCTTTAATGTAAATTAACAACAGTTAATATGGTTTTTTTTGTTGTTAATTTTTAATTCTGATTATTGTGACAATGAAATATATTTCTTAATAAATCATTAGACATAAAATTCTTCTTTTCTACTGTTTTAAACCGACAAAAATTCGGCTATTAATTCGGGTATTACGACGGGCGATGCCGTACAGAAGTTAGGGTTCATAATCGCCTTAAAATGACACTTATAAATGTAAGTCATTTTGACAACTTCTTGTTTCGTGATCATTCTCTTTATAGCTGCACTAAGCGGATTTTTTTATTGTGTTTATTATTTAGACTTCATGTTGTCTATAAAGGCAAAGGGTGTGGTAGGTTGATGCGGTAGTAAAACTTTTAAACTTCATTAAAACCTTTTACACAACCATACAACATTAAAAATTAAAACCCGGTCTTAAAGAAATAATCAACAATGTGTTCCATACCTTGCAAATTTATTGTTTTGGGATGTATTTCTGCATATTTTGTTAACAATGAGCACGAAAAAAACATGCTACACCGAGGAAAAAATTATCAGTATGCTGGCGGTTTTCGTAGACAACTCTGAAAATGCCTGTACCAAGTCAGGAATATGACGGTTGTTTTCCGCTCATTCTGTTGGTAGATAAAGTTTGAATTTGTCAGTTTTTATGGACACCCCTTTTTTGAATTTACTTTGGATTTCGGTATTTTTGTTATACTTTCTTTCTACCGATTATGTGCCTCGAACAAGTCAGGCTATCTGGACTCATGTATTGTTCGTCGTTGTTTTACCTTTCGTTGTGCGTTTGTATTTTGCAGTAGGCCTGGGTATTGGTAGTTTATGTGTACTGTTCAATACTTTTGTAAATTCCTGTGATCTGTTTAATGTCTTAGAGTGCAAGAATGGACAATAATTGTACGTTTGGCGCACATCTATGGTCTTTTATTTCCTTCTAGTTCATCTGACCAGCGATATTTTAAAATTGAGTCATGATATGTTTTACAATTGAAGAAGGGCAATATTTTTCAAAGGCTCTTAATATTGTTGACCTTTCATAAATTGTGGAAGGGGATCAGACATTAACCTTTAAAACGTAATCAAACCGCTTCATATAATCTGCGCAATTAAACATGTGATCAAGGTAAGTTTACGTAGACAGACGGACAATGTTATTTGCATAGAAGTGGTATCATTTATCAGCAAGAAGTTAAGATTTTGGCACTTAAACCAGAAACAGACAAGATAGTGAAGTGATTCATATTGCTATACAAAATCAGAGATACATTATGTAAGGCATCAATTTGACAATAGAAAAAAGGCAGCAGTTAACTAAAAAACATCTTCTGAAAGTGGTAACTGCATCTGGTAAATTTGAAATAATGACACTATTCATGTTTTATCAAAATGAATTGCTCTTTTTAGAATAAAAGAAAAGAAAAAAGAACAATTATTTATTTCTTCTATGTCAATTTGGTGCAGTCGTCTCATATATTCGTGGCTAACGCCACTCGGATACTGAAAGACTACATCTAGTACTTAACATATGTTAATTTGGGATAAACATATAACAGTTTACACTGAATGTAGAGCCGTAAATCCTTGTCACAGATTTAGGCACCAGTAATTTCCCGATGTTCAAATTTTATAAATCGATACAAGTCAAGGTAACAAAAAAAGAGTAATTGAAAATAGTACATTAGTACTAATTGAAATATTATACACATTAACCCTCATTAGCAAAGAGATTTGAAAAACATCAACGTTTACAGTACTACACACAACCAGGGGACCTCTGCATTGATTTTCATGCAATTTACCGTTTGTCCTTGTTTCTATGTTCTATACGCGTTATGTGCTCTTAATATGGACGATATTGTCTATCCCTTTTTTGTCACTGCTAGAAAATATTTCTTCAAGGCTTTTGTTATGACATGAAGTATCATTGATATGTCCATTTTCTGTACATTAATTGATACAAAATATTGAATCATACGGAATAACTCCTGGCCAACTACATTTTGTAATCATATGAAGCAGAAACTGTACAGAACCTTCTCAAAGACACGGTCACTTAATTAACCGATGTTTCAATGAGTGGTTAAATCTCATATATCCTAGTGAACTAGAGATTAAGGATATTATTGAAAGCAGAAGGTCTGCTTCATATTCTGATCTTTTCCTCGATATTCACACAGATGGACGACTTCAAAAAGAGGGACGAAAGATACCAGAGGGACAGTCAAACTCATAGATCGAAAACAAACTGACAACGCCATGGCCAAAAATAAAAAGACAAACAGACAAATAATAGTACAGATGACACAACATAGAAAACTAAAGACTAAGCAACACGAACCCCACCAAAAACTGAGGGTGATCTCAGGTGCTCCGGAAGGGTAAGCAGATCCTGCTCCACATGTGGCACCCGTCGTGTTGCTTATGTTATTACAAATCCGGTAAATAGTCTAATTCGGTAAGTCACATTCGTGAAAAGGGAAGGGTATTGTAGTTACGACATGAGGAACATATCCGATATCATCTGTGAAACGGTTATTCCATAACGGTCAACCAACTCGTGATGGCGTCCGTAATATTTACGAAGGGATGATTTCAACTTCACCATTTGGAACTCTTGGCTTAATAGCTTCCTTGTGAGCAGCAATCCTCTATCAAGGAAATCATGATAGGAAACACAAGCCCGGGAATATCGTATCAATTGGGAGATATATACTCCGTATGCAGGCGCTGCTGGACTGTTGCTACATAGAAATGGAAAATTCACAATTGGGAAGCTGAAATCATCTCTTTTGTCGTAAAGTTTTGTTTTCAACCGACCCTCATTGTCAATTTCTAGATGTAAGTCAAGATATGAGGCAGACTTAACTGTATCTGTAGTATCCTTTATCTCTAGTACGATGGGATAGGTTCGTTCAACATAGTCACTAAATTTTGTATTATTTAGTGAGAGAACATCATCTATACAGCGGAACGTAGAGTTAAAGGATATTGCTAACTTCTTATCTTTCTTCCTAAGAAGTTCTGTTCAAACTACAATCTATGACAAACCTGAAGATTTCAACTTTCCAATTATTAACGTGCCATATCTCAGCAGTAACATAGCCTCTGCTCCATCGGATGGCGACGTCTACATATCTCAGGCCATAAGTTACGCTTTTGCACTATATAGACGCCATTAAAAGGGGAGTGCTCCTTAGACATAAACTGTTCCAATAGAGTTATAAAGAAGAACGACTGAAATCGCGCATAAGCTTTACGGTCACCATCACAATATAAGTGATATTTCTGTTCGCATTTAGTTGATTCATTCATAGAAGGAGAGGCTTACCCTGTCGATATACCCGGTCTCACATCTTATGGAGTTTATGCGATTCCCTTTGTTTGCGTTTGTTACTTTGAATTGTCTCCTCGAAATTTACGAGATTTTAACATCAGTAAACTACTATCGCCTTATTGTACCAAATATGTGCCTGTTTTTTTCTCATTCTTTTATCAGTCTGATTGCTAACTTAAAAATGTTCTAGTTTTAATTGCGGAAACTCTCTTTCTAACTTGTCTTTCTTCTGCTCTACTAGCTGCTCTTCATTGGTATTGTTGATTATCTGCTTACGGTTTATTCATTGATAATTCAAATATCTATACGATACTTTTTTTCCAATCATTTACTTACTTTTTCGGGTTTTCTAAATAAAAAAACTGTTACAACGAAGCGAAAAATCGCACATTACAATACATTGCAGATATAAACCACAAGATATAGGAAAGCACAACAGTTTGTACATGTATGTATCAATACGTTCTCTCTTGTAATTCTTGGTTTATTTATTTTTTGTCCTTACCTTAGATCCCCAATCATCAAGGTAAAATCGCATACCATTTAAATACATGCATTGGAACTCTCTGCCACATCTGTGGTAAAATGTCTCAAATATGATTTCTTTTTGTCCCTAAAAGCAGGAAAATGTAAATGTTTAAATGCACACATTTCTGAATACAATTGCCAAATTGAAAATTAACATCATATATGTATAGCCAACTCAAATACAGGCATGTTTGTAAGGTATTTCAGTTGAATTTCCTCATTTATAAGATATAAAAAGTTAAAACACAAAAATACTGAACTCCGAGGAAAATCCAAAACGGAAAGTCCCTAATCAAATGGCAAAATCAAAAGCACAAACACATCAAACGAATGGACAACAACTGTCATATTCCTGACTTGGAACAGGCATTTTCTTATGTAGAAAATGGTGGATTGAACCTAGTTTTATAGCGCTAAAGCTCTCACTTGTATGAGAGTCGCATCAAATACCAGTCATATATAACAGTCAATTGAATCTGACAAAAACAATTCCGACATTAGTTAAGTTGAAGTAAGAATAATTTGCAATTTTTTTCCAAGATTGATAAGGTACACCGACCAAATGTATGAGACAAACCCTTACCGTAAAAAAACGGATTTTTCTTAATATGTTGCAGACTGTAAGTTGTCGTTAGTCGGTTTCTCATATTATTCCAAAGTATCCTCGGTTTCCCCTCGATTTATAAATTTTCATTGTTCTTTTAATATTTTCCGCCTCTTTTTAATAATGCCGACTATCCGGAAGTATCTATGACATAGAAAAATACTCCATCATTTGATTGTCATGGCCAAAGTTACTATTAGGGAAAGTTGGTTTCGTATCTTCTTTGTAGTTGATGTTGATGTTGTAAGGGTGTTCCAAACACGTGGTAGGTGTGCTCGACTCCAATCTTATTTGAAAAGGTTTGTCGAATTTCCTGCCGAAATCGGTGGTTCTCTCCTGGCATTCCAGCTTCCTCTAACAATAAAATCTGACCGTCACAAAAAAGTCAATAGTGCTGAAAGTGACACCAATCAATCAATTTACTAATCAATCCTAGTTGTAAAATGCAACCTTCAATCAATAAAGTTCTAAAAAAAGATCAGGCATAAGCCTAAGTTAAAGACTTCACAAGAAAAATGGTACGGAGTAACACACTTTCCTTCACTTGTTAGAAATAGTTTGACATTGCTCTGCGGCTATAAACATGTGTAGTAACTGGCTCAAGTCAGCAATTGTCATTCAATTCTACATTGCAAAATTATCAAATTCATCGATCTTTATAGTAATTTACATTGTTTCATAATCAAGCACAAAAAAAACAAAAAAAGATCATTTGGTTTCATTCCAAACAATTTCAGTGCAAATAAATTTCACATTCATGCTTTTTTTTAATAGATAATGATACGGTTATAGTTAAAAAAAATCAGAAATTGTACTTATAATAGTACCAGCGAAAAGTTTGAAACATTACTTTTTTTTTATTTTTCAAAATCATGCTTGGTAAGTTTACTAGTTCTTGAAATGACTGGTGTACACTAGTAATCCAAATCTTCATAAATTTGTTATTCATTTCTCCAATCTAAAAACATAAGTGAATCGGGTAACAATTACATTTTAAGCTTTCATTGGCAGTTTACACAACTAATGTGCTTTCTTACTTGCAATCCTTCTGTCCCTGCAGTTTTTTTCTTTTCAAATTGGTATTTCTTTTTTTGAGGAGTACTTTTTTCATTTTTGTCCTTGTTAGGCTTAACTTTTGAGGAATCTTTACTGATGCCAGTTTCTTCTTTTTGAAGGTCCTTACATCCACTGACTTTTAGATGTTCAGATATTTCCTTAAACAAACCATATTTGATTTTTGCACTATTCATTATAATAACTTGCGTAATATACACATGGTGTAGCACCTGGTTAATACAAAAATAAGATTACAATGATAAAATGTCTTTGTCAAAATATACCTGTCCTATTATAACTGTTGGTAATATAATGATAAACTTTTAGTGCATAATGAATACTTGTAATGTCCCTTTAATGTCATAAAACATGTCGAAATTGACGCATAATTTTACAAAAAATAGATATGACATGTTTGTAAAATACATCTTGTTGCAACATAGTTTTTTTGAAAAACATTGGTTCATATTCAAATATTAATGACATGAACTCAATGAAATGAGGCTATTTTGTCAGTTTTTTTGCAGTTTCGAAATAATTTAAGAAGTTGCCCTGATGTTGATATTTAAGATAAAATTCAAAAATAAAAATATTGATATCTGACAGACTAATTTTTAACAAACATCTGAAGGATGTTTTTGTAGATAAATAAAACTTATATATTTTTTACTCATAAAGTGGTTTTATCATACCTTCTCCTTTACTGAAATAAAAACGGCATTACTTTATTCTAAACTATAATATAACCAAAACTTACAATGTCGGTGCTTTTGACAGGAGTGTTAGTAGTCAACAGACCCTGTTGGTACCAATTTGTTGGAAATGGTTGCCATTCCTGATAACAGAGAATTAAAAAATTTATTATACGAAAGAACATTTTTTAACGGATTAAATAATTTTAAAAAGAACGGGGGAAAATCAGTCTTGAATTACGAATTTGACGTTTTAAACAAGATTATGAAAGTAACATTTAATATTCATAGGATAATAAAGTTGAACGTAAAATGATGAAAAGTTCAACAAGTCAACGAACACGACAAGAACACTGAGTAATAATGTTTTCAATAATTCTATTTTTTTTACCAAAACACTGCCAATGATTAAAAATCATCATTCAAGGGCAAAACTCCTATAAGAAGTGTACTGACAATTTCGTCTTTGTTGACACATTTGTAGATCTTGTTTTATTGATAATATTTGCTGTTTACAGTTTTCTCTCTATTTTCTATCTTTACTGCCCAGAAAAAGGATAACAAAGTCATTTCAGTGCAAAAACTCATATAAGCAGTCAACTGACAATATTTACTAAAAAAAAAAACCAGATCGAATCTGCTGATGCCATAGTCAAATTTAGTGACAAAAAAATCGGAATTTTACTAGCACTGGATCGATAGTAAAGCTACTTTTTCTAGGAAAGTTGACCTTAGCCGAATTTGGCTATTTTTCGTACGTTCCATTTGGTCATTTACAGGATTTCCTCTGGGTCATTTTTTTTTTTCGCCACCTCCTTCGCCAAAACAATATATTTTTCCCCACTTTCAATTTTTTTTCGCCAACAAACACAAACATATTTTTTGTTTAAAATTTCCCTTTTTTCTAACACAAATAAAATCTGTTTGTCACATTGTTGTCTATTATAATTCTTAATATCTAGTTTTTAATCTTCATTGTAATGAATAAATACTCAATAATAACAAACATTTACTTTTTAAAAGATACTGTAAAATTGCAATATAGATCATGAAATCATCATTTTTTACTTCTGTCGGGGAACACGGCAATAAGTTGGTAGGATTCTTCCCGTCTAGTTGAAGGATAAAGACTAAACTCAGTGATTTTTTTTACTTTTGAATATTTTCTTCGTAACAATAGTTTTCATTTTCCGGACCATTGTTGAAAGAAAAAGTTTGGACGTAAAACTATGCCTTAAACACGTGCGTCGCTAAAACGATTGTGTATCACCCACTTCAAAACAATCATTTCTATCAAAGTTATCGGATGAAATTGAAAGTAAGAGATTTTTCTTACATTTGAACATTTTTCGTCATAAGAACAGTTTTCCTTTTCAGTCCATCGTTTAAAGAAAAAGAGGAGACGTATCATATACTTCAAACATGTGCGTCGCTAAAACGATTGTGAAGTACCCACTTCAAAACAATTATTTCTATCAAAGTTGTGAAAAAATCCTTTAAGTGACATGCAACGTCATTTAACCACACCAATTTATTAAACAATGCAATCAACACCTTTATTAATTAAAATCCAATGTTGCCGATAGCTATAAAATGCAATCAGCTGATTATTGATTTCTATCAAAATCGTAACGAGTCCAAGGTGATTTCCCAGTATTGTTTGATCAGGGAAAAAGTCCGAGAACCCCGAAAAAAGTAAACAAGATGGACGAAGTTGAACCGTTATATTTCTTTTGCCAAATTCTTTCGACAACAACGAATTTTAGCGCCACAATTTTTATTTTTTCGCCGACTGCCAGCGAAAGCCCTAGTCATATACATCCTAACGTTTATACGTATTGATACATCAATGGCTTTCAAATGTTTTGGTCTTAGCGTTCCTGATGAAGATTAATTTATAAAAGCACTTGGAACGCATGGCATGTATAAAGTGTTACTTTCATTCATTGAGCAACATTGTATTGTTATATGTCTTTTCAGAACAATTATGTTAATGTTTCTTAATGTCACCAACAATGCGAGCAAGCACATTGCCTTCAAAATACGCACAATTTAACAGACGAATTAAATTATCGAACTTGGTTTAATATAATATTTCTATATAACTAATCTATTGTGCGATGATTTAAATATTGCTTAAAACATGGTATTCCTTTAATTTTAAGTTTTTTTTGCGATTGCATCATTGTAAACGTATAATTTCAAAACAGTAGAAACTAAATTGATGGTCGACATCTCAGTTTAGAAACTTTCGGCTTAATATTATTTTACAATTATTACTTTATTTAAAGGAGTTATAAAGTTGAATATATTTGTAAATGTAAAATTTTTAATATAACGTTGATATTAAATTAAAAATATTATGAATAGATAAAGAGCATAGAAGGGATTTAATTGATTATTTTTCTGAAACTTTTCTATGGTTTCAAAATAAAAATAATTCCAACCTTTATTATTATTTGATGTTCCATTTGTCTATTTGAGATTATCCATCAGTTATATACCTATTGAATCAAAGCTAAGTTCATCGACTTGAAGCATTAGTTAAAACGGTTGTTCAATTTTTTCGTCTTGGGTAATGTACCGTTTCAAACACAGCTAAGTTCATCGACTTGAAATATTCGTTAAAATGGTTGTTTTATTATTTCGTCTGACAATTTGAACAAAATATCAAATTAAAGATAAACTTGAACAATTCTAAATCACATATCATGGATATTAGTAATATATTTATATCTTTACTTTCACCATACGTAACATGCTAAAAACAAACTATCATAGATATTTGAGAAAGCTCGACGTTTAGATCACAAGGAAGCTATTAAACCAAGAGTTCCAAATGGTGAAGTTGAAATCATCCCATCGTAAATTTTACGGACGCCATCACGAGTTGGTTGACCGTTATGGAATATCCGTTTCACAGATGATATGTTCCTAATGTCGTAACTGCAATCCGGTTCCCTTTTCACGAATGTGACCTACCAAATTAGACTATTTACAGGATTTGTACTAACATGAGCAACACGACGGGTGCCACGTATGGAGCAAGATCGGCTTACCCTTCCGGAGCACCTGAGATCACCCCCAGTTTTTGGTGGGGTTCGTGTTGCTTAGTCTATAGTTTTCTATGTTGTGTTTTGTGTACTATTGTCTGTCTTTTTCTTTTTAAGCCATGGCGTTGTCAGTTTATTTTCGATTTATGAGTTTGAATGTCCCTCTGGTATCTTTCGCCCCTCTTTTAGCCAAACGCAATAAGAGGGAGCTCATGCAATTTACTGTTGCCTCTGTTTCTATTGTTTCTATATGCATTCTGTGCAATGAAGGTGTTATGAACGTTTTCGTCAGTACTTTTATGACATAAAAATCATTGATATGCTAATTTTCTGTAAATTAACTGTTTATAAAATATGGAATCAAATGAAACATTAAAGTTTCTCTATCCCGGGCAAAGATTGTATTAGTCGTGTTTGGCACAACTTTTTCGATTTTTTTATTTTTAACGCTCTTCAACTTCGTATTTGATTTGACCTTCAAACTATTTTGATTCGAGTACTACTTGTGCTACTGGCGTACCAAATTACAAGTTTGAAATCTTTGAAAAGTTGTTCATGAGACTGCCTGCTGACTTCAGAAAATGCTTTTATTTTTGTTGTAGAAACTTTCCTCCAAAAACATTTTTTTCTGTTCGGATATTCAGAATATTTGTTTCCCTATTGCTGCTCTAAATTGGTATTGTGGGATTCCTGCTAATGGATTATAAAGTCTTAATTCAAACATTTTGAAGAGACTCTTTATTTCTAATTATTTATTGACATTACCAGGTTTACTGAATCAAGATACGTCAAGTCACAGCAAAAAGTTAAAAAAAAAATATTACAAAGAAATAATTGTTTGATATATAAACCACAAGAAATGGGAACGAAAAACAGTTCGTACACGTTTGTTACAGTTCTTCCCCTTTAGTAAATCATGATTTATTCCCCTACCTTAGATCCCCAGTCATCAAAGTAGAATCGCATTCCATTCTTATACATGCATTGGAAACGCCTGCCACATCTGTGATCAAATGTTTCAAATACAGGTTCTTCAATGCTCTAAAAGCAAGAAATTTAAATATTTAATGGAGGAAAATTCATATATTCCGGAAAATTATTACTTACTTCACAAAATAAAAATTAACATCATATGTATAATCAAATCAAATACAGGGGTGTTTTAGGCACTTCAGTTGGATTTTCAAAAGCTGTTCCTCGTTTATAAAATAAAACAATAAAACGAATTGGACAAAAATTACTCCGACACTTTGTTTTCTTCCAGATTTATAAGATACACCAATCAAATGTATACGATAAACCCTTTCCAAAAAAGTAGGATTTCTTCAAGCATGTAAACAAAAAATAATTATTTGGTTGGGTGTTCCTAACAGTTTCAGTGCAACTGATTTTCAAATTTATGCCAATTTCAAATAGCTCATCATACGCTTTTGAAAAAATCTTGTCGTCAGGATATATCTTGAATTAGAATTTTAAGAAATGTCCTTATAATAGTATCAGAGAACAGTTTGAAACACTATATTTCTATTATTAAAAATCAGGCGTGGTAGGTTTACTAGTTGATGAAATAACTGATGTATACTAGTGAACCAAAAAATTAAATATATTTGCTCATAAGTTTTCCAAGACAAAATACGTAAGTTTCATCGGCGGTTTCGACAACTAATGTGCTTTCTGAAATAAAATGTACATTTAATACGCTTTTTACACGTACCTGCGATATCCCTGTCCCTGTTTCTTTATTCTCTTCTACTTTGTCTTTCTTTATTATAGGATTACATTTTTTATTCTTCTCAGTTGTATCATTGTTAGGTTTAACATTAAATGAATATCTACTAATTTCCTTTTTCTCTCCTTGAAGATCCTTACATCCTTTCACGTTTAGATTTTCAGATATTTCCTTGAAATTAATTAATTTGGCACTATTTATTATAATAATTTGCGTAAAATACATATAATGTCGATAAATGCCTTTGTCAAAATATATCTGTCCTAATATAACTTTTGGTAAATTACTTTCATATTTGCTGCTAAAATGAACATATGTTATATTTCATATGTGAAAATCACTCTTTCAAAAATGGAATATTATGTTTTATCAATTTCAAAGATATGGCCAAAGCAAATATGCCGTGATTGAAAAAGTTTCGTCCTTTCTTAAGAAGATTACAAGCTTTTGAAAAAAGAATTAAAATTTATAACAGAATGTTGGAAACTATACACAACTATACAGAGTTCCATGTTCAGTGAATGTTCAAGCTTTAGTGACAAAACAGTATATAAGTGTATCAACTTATGTTTTGTATAGGTTTTATCAATTCAGGGTAAATTCCAGTATATCCAGACGAGTCAAAATTATATTCCTAAGTTATCCGATACCAATTTAGAAACTATAAAGAAAGGATGTTTCCAACTGTAAAAGGCAAAGTTCACCTTAAATGGATTTTGATATTTTTTATGTCCCTTTTTTCAAATACTTCTTCTTGTGGTAAAGTACTTATGCATCATCGTCTCAAAATGTTTTAGTTTTGAGCGTGTTCCTGGTGAAGATTTATCAAGACAAACCCCTTAATGGCACCAAATGTGTAAACTATCTTTTACATTTTACGTCAATGTAAGAATAAAAAAAAAGCCAAAAAAGTTAATCAAACAAAAATTTTATGCATTTTCCAAAAATTAACTTTCAGTGATTTCCTGTTTAGCATTACAATACGTTTTCTGTAAACCACTGATTTTCAACAATGACATTTGTGTTCATCGGTCCACCTATGGTGAGGGAACTTTCAGTATGAAATATTGTCTCTGTGATTATAACGAATACATTTTATGAGCAGTCACAAATCATGTCATACTATAGTTTTGGCCAGTCAAAGTGTTTGGTCATCAGGCTAATTTGTTGTACAGCCTATGTTTCCGCTTATAAATAAAACTCATTTGTTAACGAAGAATACATTACGCTTGCTTTTACAGTTCTCAAGTAAAATGGGTGAAAAGACTGTTATCTCCCTGATTACATGTGTGACTGTCAATGTTTTCAAGGCATTTACCTGTTCGTTTCACGAGTCCTACCAAAACGATAAAACGCGTGATTCTCTGAACACAGGTTTATTAAACCATACGTTCGTTCTAATTCTTACCATTTGTAAACTTTCCCTGACAAATTGGATTTTGTTGACAGTCACTTTTGTTGATAATCGTAACTTCATTGCTTTTCTTAAAATCTAAGTTTGATGTGTCCTCTGATTTAGATATTGTAACGTTAAGACAAAAGTGATAATGCATAATGACATGACACAGATATAATAGAAATATTATTGGTGATCATTAAAGAACACTTAGAGTTAGCAACAGAAGAGAGGTATTGAAAAGCCATTATTTGGCCCAGAGAACCTTTTTTTTTGGAAGGGCATTCAATACTATGATTCTTTTATTCATAAATGAATAAGCTGATATAATTTGCACACGTTCGTTCATAAAGGTCATTTGTGAAGTCAAAATTTTATATGTCATCATCGTGTCGCAATTGACAAATTGAACATCAGCTAATGCCTTACAAAAAAGATGGTTTACCTAGTACATTAACAACATTGATGAATACATCTTGTGGCAACTATATGTTTGGGGTAAAGCGTTAGCTAATATTAAAATATATTAAACGATTCCAAATGTACGAAAACCTATTAGGGTATTAAAAAAATATAACCAATATAAATTGGTTATATGAATTGAATTTATATTCAATTAAAGATTTCTTGCTGTTGTGCAATACACTGTGCTGTTGCGCAATACTTAGTAAACAAATAGAATTCAATTAATTCTCAATGTCATATTAGAAATTTATGAAAATGTAAAGGGAGCTTACATCAATAGATTCACCAAAGTTTCATGAGAATTACTGACAGCAATTTTGAGTTATTGTCCGAAATCTGGAAAATCACCCCTTTCTTAATGAATAAAACCCAATAACTCAGAAATGATAAATGAAAAATTTATAAAATTCTAAACAGAGCTTACATCAATAGATATAAACAATTCACCAAAGTCACTGAAAGCATTTTTTTATTTTTTGTCCGTAAACTGAAAAATCCCCTTTTTTATGAATAAAACCCTGTAACTCGGAAACGTAAACTCTAAAATATATAAAAATCGAAAGGGAGCTCATGTCATTAGATATAAACAATTCACCACTATTTCTTGCAAGTTGGTGAAAGCATTCTTGAGTTATTGTCCGAAAACTAGAAAATCTCCCTTTTTTTAATGAATAAAACCCAATAACTCAGAAATGATAAATGAAAAAATTTATAAAATTCTAAACAGAGCTATTATCAATGGATATAAACAATTCACCAAAGTTTTATAAGAACTGCTGAAAGCATTTTTTATTATTTGTCCGAAAACTGGAAAATCACACTTTTTTATGAATAAAACCCCATAACTCGGAAACGTAAAATCTAAAATTTATAAAAAACGAAAAGGAGCTCACGTCAATAGACATAAACAATTCACCAAAGTTTTATGCAAATTAGTTAAAGCGTTTTTGAGTTAATGTCCGACATGTTGACGACGGACGGACAGACGGACAGACGGACAACGGTATACCATAATACGTCCCGTAAACGGGCGTATAAAAATGATTATCTCGTAAATACGAGATAAAAAACTTCTTATCTCGTAATTACGCGATAGTTTTCTCGTAATTACGCGATGATGATCTCGTAATTACGAGATAATTATCTCGTAATTACGTGATAATTATCTCGAAATTACGCGATAATTATCTAGTAATTACGCGAAAGTTTTCTCGTAATAACGCGATAATTATCTCGTAATTACGAGATAAAAAAATGATAATCTCGTTATTACGCGATAGTTTTCTCGTAATTACGCGATGATGATCTCGTAATTACGAGATAATTATCTCGTGATTACGTGATATTTATCTCGTAATTACGCGATAATTAGCTCGTTATTACGCGATAGTTTTCTCGTAATTACGCGATAATTATCTCGTAATTACGCGATAGTTTTCTCGTAATTACGAGTTATTTATCTCGTGATTACGCGATGAATATATTTTTTTTTGTGACCCTAATAGGCTTTTGTACAAATGACAAGATTTTTAGCTTTTTTTTTACAGTTTTGCATCATATACCAGTAGTATGAAGCTTCTCTGCAAATATACAAGACAAATGCCTGACAAACTTATATTCTATGAACATCTGCAAAACTATTTGATTCCTTCGTTAAACTTTTTTATTTTCTATTTCAAGGAGCCAATCAGTGGCCCTATTATACCATCAAAAACGCAGATCGTACTAAAAAATGTAAGACATTTACCATCGTTTACCCGTTTTTGAGACAGAAATCTAATAACACAAATAGCCAAAAGACATCTAGAGGTCAACATACAGTTTTCAACATAGACATATATTTATCAAAGAATTTCCTTTCATTTCCTTTCTGAATTAGTGCATACAGTAATGCAATATTGGGAAAGATCTTACCTTTTCTATTTGTTTCTCAGACACAAAATCTGAACTATTTTCTACTGGATCTGTAATGAAAATGTAATCGTTTACTCATTAAATACAATGTCTACTTGATTTTAAATCTGGTGATCAATTGTCTCATTCGCAATCGGACAAAAACTCCGTATTTTATATTTTATATCCCTGAAAGTATGGAAGAGCAAATCATTTATGAAATAAAAATGACAGTTTGAATGATTTTGCAAGACACATCTAAATATGAAATATAAACACGATCTCTTATATCTTTTAATTATTCTATTGCCAAGGATCGATCTAGTAAACGGAAATGTAGAAGACATTGCAAAACCTGGAAATAAAAAAAATTGTTGCCATGAAGAAAAAAAAACATACCTGAGGACTTTTGTCATTAAGTTGTTGAAGGAGTTATTTCGGAAAATAAATTTCAATAAATTTTTATATAATTATTCGGATGGTAAATTAACATATATTACCTGTTTGGTAGAAAAATTGAATGTTTGCGTTGTAAAATTATGTAAACATTTTCATTATTGTAGATATGTCAACAAAAAACAGCACAATAATAATAAATAATTAAAAACCAATTGTTCAGAGAACAATTGAAGGTCTTTCCACATCAATTTTCTAAATAATTGATGAGAAGCTAATTCTGGTTTACTCAAAGCTACTATTGTCGTCCATACATAGGTTTCTTCATACTGTTTCAACATATGGTTTCTATAGACTTTTGCCCGAAATAAGGGAGATAACTGTCAACTTCCGGTTTAGAAAATGTCACTTCCGGTCTCATATGATAGCTTTATTTACACTGATTCCAAAAATATAGGGGTTTATATATACCTTTGCCTGTAAAAAGGGAGATAATTGGCTACTTCCGGTTTAGAAAATGTCACTTCCGGTCTCATGATAGCTTTATTTACACTGATTCCAAAAATATATGGTTTATATATACTTATGCCTGTAATAAGGGAGATAATATGCTACTTCCGGTCTATAGAATATCACTTCCGGTCTCAAATGATAGATTAATGTATGACCATTCAAAAAATATATGGTTTCTATGTACTTTTACATGAAATAAGTGCAAAAATGACTACTTCCAGTTCACTCAAGGTCACTTCCGGTTGACATTTTTCTAGGTCATATGTCACCCAACATTTTGCAAAAGATCTTATGGCTTTATCATGTACCAATATGAAGAAATAATCAATTTACCTTAAAATAAAACATTTCAGGGGTAATAACTCCAATAATATGTCACTGGATTGTCTCAGACCAAATGTATCATATTTTCATCACAATATAACAAACATTTTGCACTAGTTCTTTTATATAAAACATTAAAAATATCGGAGAAAATGCAAAAACAAGCAAAAGACAAAAATCATAACATGACCTTGACCTTTGACCTTGACCTCATTTTCTAAGTTAGGACCTAGAGTTCTCAAATAAAAACACATACCGACAAATTTATTGTGTAAAGGTAGATAACTCCTATAAAATTTCATCAAATCGCTTCGATCCAAAATAGCCAAAAATTTCTGAGAATGTAACGAGCAATTTGTAAAAAGAATTTTGTCGATATCTTTTTTTGTTACGAAGGAGATGCACACAGATGATGAACAGTGAATAGGGAGATAACTCTTGCAAAGAAAACGGTTCGGCTTAGCAGGGTGAAATTTAAAAGCGCATAAACTATACGATACAATATGAGAAATATCTAAGCGACATATTGCGAAACAAACATTTATTGCAAGAACAAAATTTGGCGGAAGAAAAAAAAAAATAATAATAATAATAATTAAAAACCAATTGTTCAGAGAACAATTGAAGGTCTTTCCACATCAATTTTCAAAGTTATTGAAAAGAAGTTAGTTCCTGTTTACTCAAAGTAAAAATTGGCATCCAATCCTAAGTTTCTTAAAACTGATACGATAAATAAGTGGTTTCTATTTACTTTTGAGAGAAATGAGGAAGATAATTAACCACTTCCGGTGAGGTAATCGTTACTTCCGGTCTCATATGATAGCTTCTTTCACACTGATTCCAAAAATATATAGTTTCTATATACTTTTGCCTGTAAAACAGGAGATAATTGGCCACTTCCGGTTTATCGAAAGTCACTTCTAATCTTTAGTGATAAGTTAATGTATCTATATTACAAAATATATGGATTCCAAGTACTTTTTCATAAAAAAAGTGCAAAAATGGCTACTTCCGGTTTCTCAAGGTCACTTCCGGTTGTCATTTTTCAAGGTCATATGTCACCCAACCTTCTGTTAAAGGTCATATGGCTTTATAATGAACCAAGTTGAAGTAATAATCAATTAACCTTATAATTAGACATTTCAGGGGCACTAACTCCTATAAGATGCCATTAGATTGTATCAGACCAAATGTAACATATCTTCATTACAATGAAGCAATCATTTTGCACTTGTTCTTTTATACATATCTTTTAAAGTGTTGGAGAAAATTCAAAAACAAGGAAAAGTCACAATTGAGAACTTGACCTTGACCTTTGACCTTGACCTCATTTTCTAAGTTAGGACCAAGTGGCCTCAAATAAAAACATTCCAGGGTTATACGGTTAACGGTTGATGAGTTAATAACACATACCGACAAATTTATTTCGTAAAGGTAGATAACTCCTATAAAATTTCATCGAATCGCTTCGATCCAAATTAGCCAAAAATTCCTGAGAATGGAACGAGCAATTTGTAAAAAGAATTTTGTCGATATCTTTTTTTGTTACGAAGGAGATGCACACAGATGATAAACAGTGAATAGGGAGATAACTCTTGCAAAGAAAATGGTTCGGCTTAGCAGGATGAAATTTAAAAGCGCATAAACTATACGATACAATATGAGAAATATCTAAGCGACATATTGCGAAACAAACATTTATCGCAAGAACAAAATTTGGCGGAAGAAAAAAAAAAAATAATAATAATAATAATAATAATCAGAACAAATACAATAGGTCTTTCCACAGAAAAGTGGAAAGACCTAATAATCAGAACAAATACAATAGGTCTTTCCACAGAAAAGTGGAAAGACCTAATAAAGCTTGAGACCAACAGTTTGGAATGGAAATCATATATGTTACATGTTGGAGAACTTAAAATAAAATAGACTAAAGACGAACAGTCAAATCTATCCAATTTTAACATTAACCAAAAGAGTTGAGAAAGAAAAATATTAGATAATCTAGCATTTCTGAAGATGTTAACTCTCTAACCTTAATAGAAAAATTCTTTGTTATTTCATAGAAACAAATGAAAATGAATTAGACTTTTGTTGTTAAAGTTTGTAGAGTTTTTATCGTGCGTACAGAACGCTTTTCTGCATTTAACTTTATCAGGAACGCTCAACACTTAACTTTTTGAGATAATAAGAAAAAAATACAAAAACATGATAACTAAGCTGCAGGAAATTAAGAAGTAATGACAAATTTAATAATGGAGAGTATTTCCGCCATCAGGCAAATTGAACTTAGTTGTATTTGATTTGTATTTTATGTCCTGTTTGGTTAGATTCTTATACTAGTAATCCTTGGCTATTAAATATTCGGCTTTCGTCGTTTCTGATGAAGGTAAACTCAGAAAAGGTAAATCTGCTAACGCATAAAATATATAATGTGGTGTTTTAATTTTTTTTCTTTCTATCACGTCATTTGAACTCCGGTTGAACATTTTCTCACTGGCAATCATGCCACATCTCCTTATATGTATTATAATAATAAAAACAGTCTATAAAATATGTATCAATAGCTTGACAACTAAATGGCACTTATTTTGGAGAAAATGCAGTAATCGACTTTATTTGTATATCTTTTCATTATGTAGCCCAATGAGCGTACTAATTTAAGACGCTAGACACAGTGCATGAGATATTTCAATGATGTCACTGAAGCATTTGCTGAAATCCAACTGAAGTAAGATCTGATATGTACAAGACGTCATAGTTTATTACTTCCAATTCATAATTTAAAAGACATTAATAACAGAACATTCACTATGATAAATTAAATAACACATAGCTGAGAGTGTGATAGAGCAGATTGTTACTCCTCGAAAAAAAAAACCTTTTTTGTTACCCTTGGAAAACATAGTCAATCTTGGCTTCGCCTTAATTGACAATGTTTTTTTTTTTCGGGGTAACAATCTGCTCTCAGCTATGTGTTATTTATTTAGTGTTGTTCTCATATTTTCCTTGATTTTTAAGTAAGAATACCTACCATGTTCTAAACAAGAAATCGTATCCAACTTAAAGAATGTTGTCCCATTTATTACGACATTAGCATGATATGTCCCTGGACTGTTTATTGCGCATTTGGCTTCAAAACAACCATTAGCACCAGACAGAGTGAACGGAAATGTAGACTCCTGGCCAGAGTTTTCGTTCAAAAATATTATCTCCATGTGAATACTTTGATCCTTCACTGGCCTACCTTGATTATCTTTCAGGCGAACTTCAAATATACCATCTGTTTTTGCGTACATGATTTTCGGATTTTCTATTTCAGATGTATATGGAACTGCTGTTGATATCAGAAGTAATCCTAAATGTTCAAAAATATGTTCTGACTGTTCTATGTCGTCGATAAATTTCATGTTTGCAATATGCGTAGGTTGTCTGGCAATTTCTGTTTCTTTAATTTCGTCCAACTGTTTGTCGACAGAAGAGACTGATGCCAAAAAGGCAGGTGCATTCTTTGACAATGAAGATTGCTGTAAAAAGACTTTTGATGTCAAAATTTTATTCTGAAAACTGTCGAGTTCTTCTTCTTGTAAAGCAAGAGCTTTACACTTTAACTCAGTCTCGGTGTCTAATTCTTGCGTTAACATTTTTTGTCTTGATTCAAGTAATTTCTGACAGAGGCTAAAAAATTCGTTCAATTTGTCCTGTTCTGTTTCCTTTTTATACTTTATGGCAAACATCTCGTCTTTGATTCTTTGTCGCACCTCACTTATTCCATGCCATAATTCCTCAGTTTCTTTATATTTATCAAATATTCTATCCAATTCCCCATTAAAAACATCTTTGATATCCTTCGCTTGATGGTCTCCTGAATCAGAATGATCTATAACGAAGCACATATTACACACAGGTCTTCTGCAACCGTCCCCAGTGCAAAATATTTCAAGTGGTCTGTTTTCATGGCCATCCTTGGTACAAAATACCTCATGAGAAAATTCAGAAACATCACTTGCTTCCGACAGATTACAAGTCACATGATTCTTGAATTTACTGCTTTTATTGTGAAATCTAATACATGTTTCGCATATGTAGCTTTCGCAGTCTTTACATCTATATGTGGCCTTTTTCGAATCGTCACAGAAGTCGCATATACTACTTTTGTTTTGATTAAAAGTATGTAAAAATTCTATTCGATCTCTTATGGTGAAGTCGATTGGAAATTTATCCTTCGATGATTCAAATGTATCTTGAATGTCGACTGATTTTTGGCACACGATGCATTTGAAAGAATTCGATTGAAAATGTTTCATCAAACAATCAGAAGGATTATATGCAAACAAGGTAAAATTCTCGGTTGATGTAAGCTTTGATCATACCGTTTTTCACACTGTGTGCAATGTAACAATTCCATGCATATATTTTCACATTCCTTCAAATTTGCTGTTGCCATTGTGCAAAATTCTAAATAAAACAAATAACAATTGAATAAAAACTTTTACATGTACATTATATACATACAAAATTTTAACAAATAATCTCTCCTTCAAAATACACATTTTAAAGTCAAAAAGTTGATGCATTTATATTTGAAGAAAATTGTTAATTAACTTTACATGTTTTTTCCCCTTCTATTCAAGTCAATTAAATTGTAGGGTATTACTTAATATTAATATTGATCTGACTGATCTTAAAAAGTTACAATAGATAATGCAACATAGTTAAAAAAGAAATAAAACTTACGACTCTTATATATAAGAAAATGTGCTGTGATTATATCATAACTGTTAAGTCACTTTTATATTATTGTTTTAGTTGAAAAATGTGTTTTTGAGAAGTTAGATAAATAGGGATACCAAAATTCAACGAGAACAATTCGAGTGATAACCTTAGAATTTGGCAAACTCTAAATCTTTGTGGCAACTGGCTATTTCAACGTATCAGTAACAAATATATTACAAAAAAAAGGCTGATTACTACCAGAATAATGATACCCTCGAGGGCTTGGAATTCCCTTTCAGTTCAACAGTATAATCGACTCTGTTGTAATTAAAGAAAATAACAAGGCAACGCAATCGTGTGGGCATTATGAGAAAAGCAATCGTTAAATAATCATAACGTATAAAGCTGATATCGGAATTTATCAAATAATAATTATCACTGCCTTTACCAAAGGAAAATAGTAAAGAAAAAGCCGCTTGTAGATGAATATATGTACTGGATTTTGGATCATTGTCCATTGAATATGTCAGATAAAAGATAATTTCGGAATTTTGGATCCTCAATGCTCATCAACTACGAACTTTAATGTGCATTTTAACTTTTTTATTCGAGCGTCACTAATGAATCTTTTGTAAACGAAACGCGCATCTTGCGTACAAAATATAAGCCTGGTATCTTTGATGAGTTTAGACAAATGGACCTTTTTCGGGAAGTCATGAGTGGGACTATTTTGTGGGAATTCGGGATTCAGCGTTTATTTTTCCGGAAACTTGGGATGACATCCCTTCTACCTCCTCTTAACTGTGTCAAGAACAATTCGTCAGGTTATACTAGTCAATGCGCAAAATTTTTAAAACGATTACATAAATACTATTTCCGAACGGGTGATAATACCACGTCAAATTATAAAATGTTGATAGCTTAAATGTACAAAATTGCTAATTTTAAAGTACTAGTAATCGTTATTTGCAAATGTATCAAACAGAACGCTTTTCAGAATTTCAGCTATGTAATATAAAAGTTCTAAATGGGTTACACTTTCTATATGATGTTATCATAGGTTTATATTTAGACAAATAACTAAATCTAATACAATGACAACCCAATTTTTTTTCATTTAGACTAGTATTTTTGGATTTTCTTTGTATGTTAATATTTTCACAAATTTGTATATAAAAATAAGGAGATGTGGTATGATTGCCAATGAGACAACTATCCACCAAAGTTCATATGAAGTGGATGTAAGCAATTATAGGAAACCGTACGGCCTTCAACAATGAGAAAAACCCAAACCGTATGGTCGGCTATAAAAGGCATATATATATATGAAACAATTCAGTTGAGAAAACTAACGGCCTAATTTATAACAAAACAGTTTACGATAAACAAATATGACAGACAAGAACCAACGACACCCACTGAACTACAGGCTCCTGACTTGTGACAGGCACATCACGAATGTGGCGAGGTTAAACATGTTTGTGAGCGCTCAATCCTCCCCCCTAACTTGGGACAGTGGTGTAACAGTACAACATAAGAACAAACTATAAAAATCAGTTGAAAAAGGCTTATCAGGTGGATACAATTAGAAATACATCTAACAAAAACACAAAGTATATATCCCAAAAAAAAAACAAACTAAGTACAGATCTGAGAGTACTCGCAGTTACTGACAGCTCGTTCAAAGCCAATAACAACTAATGAAAAAAATCATGTATCTAAGACTAAAAATCATGTATCTAAGACTAAAAATCATGTATCTAAGACTATGTATGTTTGTAAGTTGCTTTTTAACAAATATATTTTAAATTATAACTCATTAAAACGAAAATGGAATTTCAATGAAAGATAAACAACTTGGCAATTTTTCATAAAGGTCCTTACAAGCAACGTATTGATGGATCTCCTTTAGTTGACTCAAGTCACCCGAACAGATAAAAGAAGATGTCGTCATTATTAATCAAAAATAAATTTGTTTTATAAAGAGAATGACAAACGAAGAAAAAACTGTGTTTAGCAAGTAAACAATTTTTACTTTGTGCAACACAGTCAGTCGTTATGGTAACATTCAATTTCCTGTTAAGATTTTATTAAGTTTCCTGGAAAGATGTTTGCTTGTCTATACTTCGAATATATCGCTTGAAAATTTAGGGGAATTAGAAATGAGGTCACTATTCTGCTTTATATAAATAACTATTGTAATAGCTGTCATTATATAATTCTTTCGATTCTGTTAACTAAAGCTACCTTTTAAGAAGAGAAGGCTGATCTGACCTATTCCCTACTATGACTGAGTTTATATTCGCATGGCGGGTGATACATGCATAGCAGGAAATGCTTACCCTGTCGACACACCCGGTCTCGCTACTTTTAGAGTCAATGCAATTTATTCCGTTTCATGTCTTTTTTCACTTGATTTGTTTCTTATAAATGGATTTATGAGATTTGAACATCGGTAAACCATCGTTGCTTCTAATTTATTATACAAGATAATAATACGAAGGTGTGGCATGATTGCCAATGAGACAACTATCAACAAAAAACCAAAGGACAAAAATCTAAACAACTGGAAGCAAGATTAGGCATTATACGGGCTATAACAATGACTTAGCACGTACCGTATATTAAGCTATGAAAAGCCACGGTCATTACAATATGTTTAACAATTAAAACTAGAATAACCAACAACCTTATTTACACCAAAAACCAACAACTACCTGTGAATTACTTGCTCCCAACTTGGGATATGTACATAACTAATATGGCGGGGTTAAACATATTTATAAGCACTCAACCCTATCACTAACCTCGGAGAGTAGTTTAATTGCACAACAAACAGATCTGTAAGAACACACTTTAAAAAATCAGTTGAAAGGTTTGACTCGCCAATTCAAGAAGACACAAAAACTCCAATAAAAGAAAAAAAAACACGAGGTACCGATCTAAGGATATTCGCAATAATTGAATTTTTGAAAGCTACTTCAAAGACAAATTAAACTAATAAACAAACCATGATTTCCCAGGTATAAATTAGAACACACCCAATGGATCTAGTGTAAGTACATCATAAAAAGTCTGACTTTGTGCGATGTCAACAAAAATGCACGCGTTTTCGTGCAAAGCAAACACTACTTCTAAGTAAGTCCCTTTTCTGAGTATCAGAAAATAGGGAAAAGGTGTCTGACAGATCCGAAAAGTACATACACGTTACAACTTATCACTAAAGAGCAGCTGATCAATTATGAAGTCATTATGATCAGTAGTTTCCGAGAAAAGTGTGACGAAAAGATTCAACATATTGAAGATAAAAGTATCGGCTAATCGGAACAAGTATCTGAAAAGTACTCACACGTTTCATCACTGATGAGCTGCTTACCATAAACAAGGTTATTCTGTTGAGATTCATCGTCAACATATTGAAACAAGAAATGTATTGGCAAACAGAAGGTGGGTATCTGACAGATCCGAAAAGTACTCATACGTTACAACTAATCACTGCCAAGCCTCTGACAAATTATAAATGTTTTTTTTTTTTAGAAAAATGTGACGTTATTATTTGCTTGACAAACGAACGAATTGACAATGCGATTGCATTATAGCCACCACTTTTAGAGTTAGGTATCAAGTATAAGTATCAACGAAATATTCAGTTTCGAATCGTTTTTCTATAATTAAATTGTTGTGAATTTATTTTTCAAAAGGGTTTTTGACAGGTTCAGCACCAGTTGCAAACCTTAAGAATGTAACGTTATGTACATTATGTATGATCAATGCATCTTTTTTATATAGTTATCGAAATCCTTTAGTTTCAACCTTTTATTAGTTGATCTTTCATAAAAAGCAATCTTATCAGGATATACATTTTTGGAGAAGAAAGCGGGATTTCAGTCCGAGAGCAATGGTTACCGATGCATTATATTATGTCTAGGATTTTGGGTCCTCAATGCTCTTCAACTATGTACTTTATTTGGCCTTTTTAACTTTGTTTATTCAAGTGTCACTGGTGAGTCATTTGTACACGAAACGTGTGTCTGTCGTACAAAACTGTAAGCCTGGTATCCATGAAGAGTTTATATACCAACATTATCGATTGTTCACATGAATTGAACTTCCTTGTCTTTTCCCAAACATGGATAGCTATAAATTGATTTTTTAAAATACAACACTTTATATAATTGTTAACGAAAGTTATCAATGACCATCATTCAACTTAATAAACTTACTGTAGATTGTTCAGTATATGAAAATTCTCTAAAATAAATCCGACGAGGAATACAATATTGAGATCTACCTAGTTTGTTTTGAATACCTTTATGTGACGTCAACTTTAAAGGTTCTCAATGACCCTGATGTCTCACTTGGAAATCAATAAACACCTTAAATAACATTTTATACTAGTATGTTTTAAGTGTTTTAAATGTATTACTTTCACTTTGTTACTTGCAGTGAAAGTGTTCTGCTTATGAAAAGAAATATATGAAAGACAACACAACCAAATAATACAATGACAGTAGTTTGGTCGATTTTGTCATTAACGATTGCAAGTAATTATATTAGAAATTAGTCACTTAAGAATCTAAATATTGCTTATTCATATTTGTATTAAATATCAAAATCCTCAAAATGACTTTAGTTAAAAAATCCTTTTCAAAAAAGGGTTGTTTTCCCATTGAACACTACTTTACATCTTTATCCTTAATATTTATGTACTCGACCATTCATTTATTAAAAAAAAACATCTCTTAAAAAGATACTTTAATGAAATATGTTTATATTTGTCTCTTATTTTTATCTTTGTGCAAAACCATTTTATATAATTTTGCTTTATTGTTTTATTCAGTCCATTTTTATGGTCTATATTGCGAGTAAAATGAAACTTTTTTTGCAATTTGTGTACTGCAAGGTAATTGTATGATTTTAGCTTATTTTCTTTGGGAAAATATTTTGAACAATAGTTCTTTAAATGTATTAGATCAACAGTGCATTAAACCTACTTTTTTCTTATTTTGTATGTTTTATATCAACATTGATATGTTCATCATCATTAAAAAAAAAAAGATCTACAGTTTTCTAGAATTCGAAAGTTGCTAGTCCATAATTTTGAAGATTTTTGTTATCTTTTAATGTAGTGTTGCCGAGGCCTGTTGCATCAATCACCTTTGTTTGAAATTTGTTTCTGTTTCATTCCAACGCAAAGCAATTGGTTATATTGCCAATTTGTGTATGTGTCCCTTACAGATTTATATAGATAAATATATAAAGAACAACAAATTTGCTAATGCAAATTTGCAGATCTAACATTATTGGACAAAATTTGAGACGAAGTATATATACATTATGGTGTTAGCCCTGTATAACCACAGGTTATCCGATTAAGAACGTCTATCGTAAAGTTGTCACATATCAAGACGTATATTATAATTAAAATTTGATGTGAAGGCATGGTAAGTAAATTTATCCTCCTTTACGACAGACAAAAACAGTTCATCTGCAAGGTAAACCATCTACTTGCCATGATACACCATGTACTGTGTTACAATCCTGATAAAGCCGACGCTGATAGGCTTTACTCGACTAACGAATGCTATATTTTTATAGCCTAGTGATCTAGGGCGCTGGACACAGTGCATGTGGTGTTGCCCAGATGTCTCAGATATAGGGGTTCGAATCCCGCTGAGGGAAAAACAAAAATTTGCTAATGTAAATTTTCAGATCTAACATTGTTGAGCTTAATTTGAGACGAAGTATATATATATATATATATATTTAATTAATTGTCGAAATCCGGATATGGTGTACCAATTTTTGCACCTTATGTTTGCGGTATACCATCTTTTCCGCAAGTTTATTGTTTTCTGTTTGGTATTAAATTAATAATAAGATCCATTTTGTTACATCTGGTGATCCGTTTATTTGGCAATCGCCATGGCAGTCAGCAAGGTGTAAGAACATCTGGTGTTCGACCTGCTAGTCAAAAGCGTTTTGTCACTTTTTTTGTATTTTAGAAAATGTTGTTTGTGCTGTATTTAGACCCCTCTATCAAGAAATTTGTTTTGCATGCACACGTATAAAAATTGCGGTTTTTATCCAACGCAATCATAGGTTTAAACGTTTTTTTTTCAATTTAAAATTGTATATATATATTTATATACATTTCAAGGGTTGATTCTCATTTTGAATTTATCTATGTACCTTTATATGTTATTCAATATAAGCGGATAAAAGTCGAGGGTTGAGTACTCCCAAATGAATTTAAGTTAATATTCATGAACATGTCCAGAAATAGGAACCCTGAATTTGGTGTTAAATGTTTGCTGTCTCATTGGCATATAAAACACATTCTCTATGCATATTTTTTTTAAATGTGATACTTGGTTTGGATGATTTTAGGGGTTTTTAGATTTGTTTGTGTGCTTGGGGTTTTTAAAATTTCTTTTTATGTTCAATCTATCTTTAAATCGCGTGAATAAAAGTAGGTGTGAGGTTTAGGTCGATGAGACCGCAAACCAATAACAAAATATTATCAAACGAAATCCAGGCAAGATACAGTCTTCACCAATAGACAAGAGGATAATTCAATGTGTGGATCTCTAAAATTGTTTCACCAAATATACTGAATATAAGACACAACAACCGGGAAAATAACGATAATGACATACACTTTTTACAAGTTTTTTTAAATGATTGAAACGGAATTTCCTGCACCAGTTTAGTTTATTAAAGATATGTAAGAAAAAAATCAGTTATGATCTACATTTAGTAAACAAAATAATTAAAGTTTAACACACAAAAGTTTTTTTTTAATTCATTCAGATCTAGAAAAATCTATAATGTTCTTTTTGCACATCTGTTTCTAACATTATCCCTTTTTAGCGGCCTTCAATTCCCATCGAGGGAATAGAAATGTTGACATGTTGAAAAAATCTATAAACACTCTGTACTTGTCGCTGAAAATTAAATTAAAAAATAATATATATATAGTACATGTAGTATAAGCAAAGTTGCGTTACCATTTAAATGAAATTTAGGCAAACAAAAAGTATTACGATAAACACACATAAGCTTTGTTTTAAGAAATATACAGACAGTATGATAACCAAAATGAAAAAAAAATTATAAACCAAAAGAAACGCTTGTCCAACAAGATTAATTGGTTAAGTCCCATATTTGTTAATCACCGTGTAACGTATGATTAAAATTGATGACAAGTAACAAAGAAAACAATATGTACAACAGAATTTTCTTTAAACAGGTAAACCAGAAATATATTTTTAATTTAATTTTACTATACCTGTTGCTACTTCCTCATATTTGAACATAAGGAAAAATTGTAAACCAAACCTGTTAATCTTTAATCATTAATATTCATAAGACATATCGATAGAAAAACTTTATATTATTAGTCAGAATAGTCTTGTCTTTGTGTAAAAACTATCAAGATGGTCTCGCTTTGATATCAGCACAAAATTTATTTCATATTAAGATTATCTTAACAGGGGAAAACATGTGCGTTAAGTTGTCATCTATTAATAAACTGATGGGATTCAATTATTTCTTTTATAAGAACAGTTAAATCAAAATTATTAGAATTATTAGCTATTAGTATAGTCTTTTCAAATCTGTATTCATGGTGATATTTAAAAGATATATCTTTTATGTTACTATATAAATGAATGTTTGGGAAAAAATATTTTATGCACGATTATGGTTTTCTTTCCGAATAGACAGAAGGAAGACAGAAGTTCAATATGATTGAAATACAAATCCTTTGAATGAATGTTGAATAGTGTTGTTATCTAGTCATTTTGTATTTCATTAATCTGTCTTCTTACTGATTAACACTATACAAATTAATTCTGTTTCTTGGTATTTGTAAAATTTAAACATTATTTTAACTTACTTCACTGTAGATATCAGGTATTGATAGCCTGATTTTTTTACGGAAACAGCTGTTGACCCTGTTCCAGTTTTGCTTCCAATCATTCTATGCACCATTAGCGCATGATTGTCTTAAAATTGAATTAAGAGAAATTAAAATGCACTGCCATTGAAATGAAAGTATATACAAGAAAATGGTAAAAACATAATTCCAATGCAATAAATTACTAATTGCCAGTTACTTTACGGCTTTGAATGTTCTGTTTAGGGCATGTTGTTTTTTTTTTTGTTGGTTCTCTTGTTTTTTTTGGTTTTTGTTTTGTTGGTTACTTTTTTTTTTTTTTTTTTTATGTGCTCCACAATATGTCTTGTTTTTGGCTTCTACACTTTTGTCTCAACCGTTTAATTTTTCACTAAATAATCCCTTTTCGACTACTTGTATTTCATAAATCCATGAGAAGGTATACTAAATGTACCTTGATATTCTTTCACTTTTTACGGCCTATATCTTTTTGGATGCCAATAAAGTTATTTAAAAAACTTTTCAAATTATGTGTACTATTCGTTTAACATCTTTAAAATAGTTTATTCTCGTTATTAATTAAAAAGATAACTCACATCTCCACTTCATCATCAATCCATCCACATCAGTGAGAAGGGTCATGACTTTATAGGGAAGACAGTAACCAGGTTCATCTCTCAAAAGAGAAATCCGTAGTGCACCCTTAAAGGCTTTATGGCTCAAGCGTCGTACACCTTCTTTATAATCACCTGTTAGAGTAAATACAAGATCATAAAAACTGTACCATTAAAAACAAACATGTTTTAGTATAGTTCAGAATTTATAATTCTCAAGGTTCACACGGTTGTGGAAATCATCTGAAAGATATAGCAATTCACATTGAACCTTATTCAGAGTATTTGTGTTGTCTCATGCTGGAAACTAGATGCAGATATGTTATTGAATGAAATACACGGCTACATGTACACGTATCTACCTAAATGTATTCAAAATATTTATTGACGACAATCGCCGACTCTATGTTTATGTTTTCAAAGAATTTGTTTGTAGATGTATCTGTAAAAAAATGAAAAGGTGTTGGAATTAGGCCTCATAAGCAATATCGCGGATAACAAACAAGCAAATAACTGAAGATTATAGTGTCGTCCAGACCGATAAATTCTTGCTCAGATAAAAATCTAAAACGAAACCGTAAATCATATGAATTATTTCTACCATATAAAATTGAGAATGGAAATGGGGAATGTGTCAAAGAGACAACAACCCGACCAAAGAGCAGAAAACAGCTCAAGGCCACCAATGGGTCTGCAACACAGCGAGAAAATCCCGCAGCCGGAGGCGGACTTCAGCTCGCCCCTAACCAAAAATGTGTACTAGTTCAGTGAAAATGGACGAAACACTAAACTCCGAAACATATAAATGAACTAAAATTAAATATGTATATGAATAACCTTCGGCTCTTACAAAGGTTAATGCGGAAGTCAATTTCGAGTGCAGCAACGTGAAGGTTTTTCTTTTGTTACTGTATTGCCATCATTTTCAGCTATATAATATAGAGATTTGAAGCTTTAAATTTAAAAGTAATATTTTTGCGAAGTTTTAATATGTCTATCTTACTTTCATACTTGGCTTTGTCTACAACACATTGAAATGAAGCCTGCAACAATAAAATATGAAAAGTATTGAATTTCGAAAGAAAATATTAAAGTATCTAATTTATAACATTTCAAAGATTTTACTCATTAATGAACATACAATTGAAAAAAAATAGAATAAATCAATTTGTTGATTTGCACACAGAAGTCATATAATTTCTTTTGACGACCAAAACAAAGTTAAGTTGACCTCAGAAGGTTTTGGATATTCTAATTTGGAAAATTTTTTGTTGTTGATCTAAAACATTTTTTTTAATCTCAAAATATTTGGTCAAGAGCCTGTCTAGTGAAAAAAAAGACTTTATAAGTTTGGTTCTTCCGAAGCGCTGTTTCTCGTTTTTATCTTCATCTAGAACACTCAAACCCAAAAATTGTGAGAGCCAAAAACGTATACATACTTGCATTAATTATTAATTGAGGAGCTATATGAACAAAAGGGACATGAACAGAATAACCAAATCCACCTAAGTTCAACTTTGCCCGAGGAAGTTGAAAGTAATCGTACATTGTAACTTCTAATTTTAGTATCGGATTAGGGAAAGGATAGGTTTTATTTTATTTTGCTTTGGGTAATAACTTACTTTGTCTGTACTGTTTTCAACTGCCTTTATGTAGCGTTGCCAAAATTCAGAATCTATTTCGTCCATTCCTTCAAGCCATTTCTGAAACAATTGTGATGACGAGGTGATTATTTAAAAGAACAATATAGATTTACAATATTTTTTTTATTATTTTACATGCAACCTGTTTTTCTGTTGTCAAATTCTTTCCTTAATTCAAATGATCATTAAAAAAAAACAATTAATAGTCTAGCTATGTATGGATCTTTTGAAAAGTCAGAAATGCTAGATGAGGTCTGAAAAAGATAAACGAGAAAATCATATGCCTTCTTTTAAACTGGTCTTAATAGTGATACAGGTTATTTTGTAGACTTGGTCGACATACTTACAACCCGAATAAAGTCGAAGTGGCTTTATGTTACGTTTTTGGATAAAGACTGAGTTTCCACATCAACAAACTCCGAACAATAACCTGCATTAATTATAATTCCAATAAAATATAATGAAACTTATATCAAATTATACAAAAATCGTCAATACTTTTGGAACTGTTTCGCCTCCATTTTGATTCATAATCATCACGTCATAAACCGGTCTATAAATGGATTAACGTTTTGGTTGCCGTGATACTTACCAAAAATTCTTGACTTAAATACAACATTGGAACAGGAATAATATAGTGAATTTTGTATTATGAAATTATTATAATGATAGTTTTAGCAGTCAAATCATATGATTAGCGTGTTGTTCTGCGTCATGGGCTTGAGAACTTAAGTTACAAATGAAAAATTCGCATGTAGTATAAGAATAAAAAATTTTATTAACATTGTTTTGTATTAAATTGAGGGATTGTTGCTTTACTCGTCTTTATAAAAATTGCTGTTACACATTTCGACCTCTTTGTTTTAAATCAAATTTCGATTCTTTTTTATACTTACGCAACGAGTAATCAGAGTATATATTTGCCTCTGTCAAACTTTCTTTTTCCACCGTTTACACATATGATTTGCACGCAGGACATTACTTAATAAAATAGTGATTATAATACAAAGAGTTTTTGATATTTATTTTAATCCGTATAATTTACTTTAAACATACCTGAACAACGCTAAACAACGTTTTTTCTTTCGCTGATTTTCGCACCGCTATTCTTGAACTCTCTAAATCCAGCTTATCGTAGTAGGGTTTAGTGTCATATTTAATTCTGTCTTCCTAATAACGAAAGCATGGAATACCAAATCATAATACAGACAAATTATTTGCTGGAAAAGAACACGGTTACTTTCTAATCAATTTGTTGGATCTTTTGGGCTTTTTTTGTTGTTCTTTTTTTTTTTGTATAACTTTACTTTTCTAATTTTATTCTTGATCTTAAATAAATACACGAATAACAAAATAGAAAGAAATCCCAGAAGTGGGTAAGTTATATTGAAAATATCAGTTGCAGTATGCGTTTTAATATACATGATATAAGTATAAAAAATTAGAAGTCCAAATCCCACACAAAATAGTAAAAAACAAATTTACTAGTAGTAGTAATGAATAATTACTATTACTCCTGCCTTGGCATACACACACTTTCCTAAACTTTCTCCGGGTAAACATTTCAATTTTCCATTTGGCGATCAAAATAAAAATAATGAGATGTAGTATGATTGCCAATGAGACAACTATCCACCAGAATTAAAGTGAAGTAGATGTAGGCAATTATAGGCAAACGTGTGGCCTTCAACAATGAAAAAACCTCATACTGTATAGTCGGCTATAAAAGGCCCCGACATGACAAATGTGAAACAATTCAATCGAGAATACTAACGGCCTAATTAATAACAAAGCAATTTACGGAAAACAAATATGACAGACAAGAAAAATTACAACTGATAAGTAAATCATGTTCTCCCAGACTAAAGAATCAATCAGGACACACCCTAAGGATTAAGTGTAAAGACGTCATAAACAGTCTGAGAAACGTATGGACTTGTGCATTGCCAAAATATAAGTAAACAGTATCGACAGGATGTAGGAGAAAGAGTTCTCATGACTGTACACATATACCAATATATATTTAGTTATGTTTTTTAATTAACTTTTTTTAGATTGATGTTAGTATCAATAAAAGCAATATTTAAAGATTTTACTTCTCTGTTTAATTGATAACCTCTAAGAATAAGTTCATTCAAAGGATCAACTAGTTTACATTGAACTTATCTAAAGTTTAAAGGCATGTTTAAAGTACTAATTAAAGACAGACAACATAATTTCGTTGAAAAATTAAACTATACTTTTCGATTGTTTAAAAAAGTTATATGCTGCTCTTTGTATAAAACAAAATAGAAATGTTAACATGTTTTTGTCAGATTTTGCATCGAAGTATGTCGCTTACCAAACTGTACTACTTTGGATCCGAAAAATAATACATATCTTTACTTCTAACATAATTTTGAATTTGGTTATATATATTTTTGGGATGAAAACTTTCTGCGGGCGGTAATAATAAGGTATCTTTTTAGAAATAAGCCTCAATATTGCCAAAATCTTGAAGTTCACAAACTATGCTGTGATACTGTGGATTGAAATAAAGATTGACAGACTTTTTGAAAATGGCTCTGATGTGAAATTTAGCTAGTGAAATTGACCATATCTCCTTTTAACTGTTATCTGACAACTAATCAAATGGTTAAAAAGAACTAGTGGCATTGTACACGAAGTACAATATTTGCAGTTTTTCATTTGAAGTTTACAATGAAAGCCGATATAAATAATCAATCAAAAATCAACTCATTTTCTATAACTAACATACTTCACGAATTCCGAATTTATTTTCAAGCAATCTAAACTGCAAGCTCTGAAATCCGGATGCTGATCCAAGGTGATGTCTACAGAAAATACAAGAGCATTTTATAATTAATTATAAAAATACCACTTATTACAACAGATATGAGTATTGTGATCTTCCTTCTGTGTGTTGGATGCATTATTGTCTATAAAAAATGAAAACAACACGTTATGAATTTCATGCGTCCGAAGCGCTTTTCTGTATTTACCTTCATCAGCAATGCTCAAAGCCAAACGAATGAAAGCCATTTTACAAGTGCTCACATAGATATGAATGCATGTTGCCTACAATTAAGGAGAAAGTTTGTGCTAATTTTGTCCTGAGGTCAAACGTTTTAAACATTTCCTTAATTTTAGAATTAAATGTTAAATTTATGATTTTAACGTTCACAATCCTTTTGAATAACATGTATTTTTTGGTGGTAAATTCAGCCATTGTAGGACAATAAATTTTGCAAAACGGTACAATTATACAAATTCTTGAAGGTATGACCAACATATGCACAGAATAATATAGAGAATAACACTTACCAAAAATATATATTTACAAAGCGATCTACAGTTTTAAATCATCTACTCACTTCACCCTAAAATATTATTCTTCTATGCTATTTTGATAAATATAAGCAAATATGCTTTATGAACCACTGTATTAAATTGACATGCAACCGAATTTGTTTTGTATAGTCCTCATTTGTATAGGATTTGAATGGCCATGTGAACCCTAAAGCGTACTTTCCATTAAGGGTGCTTTTTAAGAAATACCATGAGGATATATTTTTTACCATGACTTTTGTTTTCATGATATAAATTATACATGTTGCTTGATCGAATGTGCTGAAACAGGCTACTTTGTAACTGATGATGTTTTGTTTTGGGGGAAAGTACTATGCCAGTCACTAATTATCTAGGAAAGAAGTTTTGTAATACATCGGTATAGCGATATATCGAAGATCATCTAAAATTAACATCTCTATTTAATTTGGTATTGTATAATCATCGTTCAGTATTCACGAGACAGGTGTCTGTGCTTGATACATAGACATGTAATTAACGTCTGATTGCATTGTGGATAAATGAGATGCACAGCGGTTGATGTTTGTCTTATGTACGAGATTGACAACATTTCTATCTGTCATTAGGTTGTTCCTAGCTACCTCTTACTACGACAAGTATATGCCATTTTCTTTACAATTCCGATGATCAGTTACATTATTTTGTTATCTTTTCCTAAGTCTCTATCAAAAAACTACCCTTTGTATTAAAATCTACATTAAAGTTGCAAATATGCTCCACAACTAGCAAATAGGAAACATGGTTAAGACAACCTTAATAATATTGTGGTCGTTTATTCAATAACTTCTTGACAAACGCAAGCTTAAATATACAAAATATCATTTGATGGTATCATCGAATAAAACTTATTCTTTATAAAAACTACATTGAAGTACCTGAATTCTAAGAAATTCAGTGGTGGCATAGTCTCAAGAATGAAGAACTGGTCAATCAGTAACTACAAAAATATCATGTATGCGACAATTATTATATGACACACTAAGTATGTTCGCTAAAATATTTATTTCTTTTAAATACAACATGGGCATTTAGTTGATAATTTTGAAAGCTTAAATGATCCAACAATTCTCACATAACTAGAGGCGCTAAAGAGCCTGTGTCGCTCACCTGCATCTTCAACAATTGCCTGTTTTTGGTAAAAATCTTGGTTATAGGGGATTAACAATATCAAGAGTAAACTGACAATTTCAGTCATGTTGACGTATTTGTAGATTTCATCCTGCTTATTATATTTCTTTTTTAAAAGTTTCTATTTATCTATTATAGTTTTCAAGATAATCGGCAAAAACACGCAAAAAATGGTTAAAAATATCATTAAAGGGCAATAACTCTAATAAAGAGTCGACTAAAAATTTCGACCATGATGGCTTATTTGTAGATGTTGTCTTGCTGATCATTTTTGCTTTTTAAAGTTTTTATCTATCTAGAGTTTTGTAGATAAAAGGCAAAAATGAAAAAAATTGGGAAAAATAGTCACTAAAGGGTAATAACTTCAAGTAGTCGAACAACGACTTCGGTCATACCAATTTATTGGTAGATCTTGACATGTCGATCATTTTTGCTATTCAAAATTTCTATCTATCTATTATATTTTTTCAAGATAAAAGGCAAAAATGCAAAAAAAGGGCAATAACTTCAATAAAGAGTCAACTAACGATTTGGCTATGTTACTTTATTGTAGATCTTGTCTTGTTGATTATTCTTGTTTTTTAAAGTTTCTCTCTATCTATTATAGTTTTCAAGATAAAGACAAAAACGCTCTTAGGTATATCTGATCATTCTGAACATTTTTGCCATGTCAGATTTTCTCTATTTTTTAATGGTTTTCAAGTTAACAACCAAACATTGCGTTTTGCCCATATGTTCTTTTTCTAGCCATGTCGGTCATGCTGGTTGGGGGCATGATCATCGGACACATTTAGATACTCCAATGATGATTGTGGCCAAGTTTAGTTAAATTTTGACCAAAAATGTCAGAGGAGAAGATTATAAAAGTAGCGACGACGGACGACGACGACAATGTGAGCTAAAAAACAACTTTGTAATTAATGTTTTATGCTATTTATCTGAACTCAAATTATTACTTTGACTGGTCATACACAATAGTTAAGCAAAAGCCTACCAAAATAAAATAATTTAAAAATGATCTTTGAAATATTCAAGTAAAGGGAGTTTAGACTGATATAATGTTATCAATATTCCAAATTAAAAAAAAAATAATTCAATACAGTTTTCTCCCATTACCATTAAAATGTTCTATGTATAAAGATAATGTAGTTGTCTGCATGGCTTTGTAAGCGTAAGTAATAATCTGCGACTTGGATATTTGTGACTGTCCTACGTCTCCCCAAAAGTAAGGAAGTGTGTGGGTAGTTTTTGGTATGTTCAGCAATTGTTGACCAAGGAAAATATTCATATTTGTTACACTCATTTGTTAGTAGAACGACTATTTAATTTTCTTTTACAAAATTGAAAATAAATTAATCTGGCTAATAACAAGTAAAAATGAAAATTCCATCTGTAATGATTCTCCTGCCTCTCCATTTCAAGCAATTAAATGGTCATCCCCTAACTGGATACGTTTGCATTTCTGACATATGTTTACAGACAAAAAGTTTCGAAATCTAGACTTGTTTTACACACATTGGAAAACTTTATTATTTCCCAGTAAAAGACAAATACAATGTCTGTGTGCCTTTTAATTGCAGTTTACAGCAAGTCGTACATACTTATTATGTATTGTTTTTATTTTTCATATCATTACGATACGTACAGTTTCGTCCTATACATACATAAACTTCTGCACCCAACATATTATCTAATATTTTGTATGGTTAGTTTTGTAAATTGTATGTCATCAAAAAATGTTGTTTTCGGCAAAATCTAATATATTAAATAATTTCACTTCACTTGGTCATTTATATATATAGATATTGTAAAAGAACATTAGACATGTGAGTGATTGGGACAAAACGCTGTCTTGAAGACGTTGTTGTGAAATGTGTGGCAAAATAATATTTTAGCACATTATTAGCAGTATGGAAAAACGTATAACAAAAATACCTAACTCCAAGGCAAATTCAAAAAGGGGAAGTCCATAAAAACTGACAAAATCAAACGCTTTAAATCAACAGAACAAGTAAAACAACAAGTGAAACAACTGCCATATTCCTGCCTTGGTACAGGCATCTTCCGTAGAAAATGCTTGGTTGAACCTGGTTTTATAGTTTGAAATTTATATCATCACGAAATTTATTCCAAAGTATCATTATTCGATGTAGAAGAGATAACCTTCCATATAAGAACAACTCTTTCCAATCTCTGAGTTATGACTAACATCTTCTTCTCCTCACGAGCCTGAAACAAAATGAAACAAATTAATGGTAAAGCACTGCTTAATATAATTTTATTAAACTCATGTTTATAGTCGTTTTACTTCAATTTCCAAAAAAATAAACATCTACTGAAAAAGATTATTTTTAAATATTTAAACAGAATGCAAATATCAAAGTAAAGTTTTGAAATGTTAATAACACTGATTATTTAATTCGATGGTATCTTTTTTTTACCAAACTAGTGGGTAACTTACCGGACTACCATCAAATATTTCTATTACAGATTCCATGTCAAATAACATTTGCTTGAACCATAACTCAAACGCTAAAAATAAAAGATATAATTAGATAAAAATTTAAAATTGGAAAACCTCGTTATCTTATTGTTAAAATGTGAAAGCAACAGACCGATGTTAGTGTAAGTGTTATTATTGAGCTAATAAAAGAGAAACACCAGGTCTGTCGATTCTTTACATTTTATATATACATTTAACGCCATTCCTAGCCATCACCAGTAGCACAGCCAGGAACATGACAAAACTGGTAATAATTACAGACGGGAATATTGGGATATTAGAATATATATGAAATGCAAAACGCATTTAAATAAGTTGCAAAACTGAGTTACTCTAATAACCAACCCGTTCATGATGACGTCCAAACAACTTCTGAAATGATAATTCTATGACCTTAGCTTGAGCAGCGATTATAAATCTATCTGAGAAGTCCCTATAATGATGAAATGCTCGGTCTTATTATACCAACTCAGTATGAATAATACATGTACCTACATTACCCACATATGTTGCATACATATTATAGCTGCCGCTCGGTTTGTTTCTAAAGAGGAAGAGTCTGTATTCACTATAGATATCTATCTTATATAAATAGTTATATTAAAGATGACAATATCACAATCTATTTCTTATAAAACGTCTATTGCAATTCCGTAATTGGCAATGCAATTAGAGATATATACGAGTTGTTTCTCTTTAGAGGGACATATATTGTCATTGGCAAGAAAAAGCCAGCGAAAAGAGCAATGTGTCTGTGCGTTATGTGTGTAATCTTTAAGTTTTTCAAATTTGTTCATCACATTAAAACTTTTCTTAAGGTAAAAACGTTTGACATCAATAGTTATTTTTTAATAAAAAAACATAGTTAAAATTCCTATGTATCACCTTCAACTTATCGGGTTGTGCTGGGGCAGCAACCCATTGTGTCCGAATAAGAACCAGTCTATAATTGACAAAGGGAAACAACTAGTGTTAAAAGTATCTAATAACAAAAACCAATCTTTATTGGCAAGTAGACAAATTCAAAGGTATTTCAAGACTATTGAGTAAACTAATGTCAACAACACAAATGTTTGACGATCATCATCACAGATGAGACAATCATTACCTAATATGTGTGTTCCAGTTGATCGAAGGAATATCCCAACATTTCGTCATGTTACATTCATCCATTTTGACCATTACAAATTCATTACCAGTTTATCCAGCTTTGGATTTTCAAATATTTTGGCCTCGAGCATCACTGAAGAGACATGGATTGTCGAAATGCGCATCTGGTGCAGAAAAATTGGTACCGTTTATGTTATTACCCTGAGGACGCACCCAGTCTCGCTCCTTTTGGAGTTCATGCGATTTCCTCATTTATTGTTTGTTGCTTTCATTTGTCTCATCTTGATATATTTGCGAGATTTTAGCGTCGGTAAACTATTGTAGCCATAATTTACCACTTGGCTATAAGGCGTATGTCGAATGGGCAGGATAGTATTGGAACCTGTTTTAGCATGCATGATGTATCAGATTTAATATTCCCTTTTAAACTGGATCTGCATACTGGGGAGTTATTTATTTTCGTGGAAACCAAATTTCCTGGATTGAAAAAAAAAATTGTTTTCGTTTGGTGGATATTTTATTTCCTGGTTTTGCCAACGTCTGTTTTCAAGCATTTAGAATGATTTACTTATACCCACGTAATCCAAGCAAATTGGTATCTAACGAATAATAATGAGTCCACAGTATTTATACATCACATGCAGCCAAAGGAGTAAGTTCGGTAAGGGTCATATTTGGCCCCGATTATTAAGTTTAATGTTTCAAGATAACAAATTTTTAAAGTTATAAAAAGACATGTGAGAAAGTTGAATTGAACCTTTTTTGTCAAAGTTTTAGTTTTAAAGCGTTGAATTTTACTTCCCAAATAGATCAAAAAGATTTTTGCGAAATGTGACCAAATCGTCCAGATTTGAACCAAATTAAGGCCTATGAAACGTAGAGCGCAGGCGTCGACAAACTAAATATTCAAGTCAGATATGTAAAATGTTATAAAAAACATTTTGTAAAAAAAAGCATTTTTGTTGACGCATGCGCTCTATGTTTCCTGTCCAAAAAATCATTGGAAATTTAACCGTTTTCATTGAATTTTCGTTGAAAATCAAAATGAGCGCTATTTGTGACAACATAAATAGAACGCAAGTACGTAAATTTTCTACAAAAAGACATATTTTCTATCTAGTCATTGTATTAACTAGGATTCATTGTGATATTGGTCAATAAATCCTAATTTGAAATTGTAGCTAGAAATAGGGGCTATTTTCGGGTGTTATCGAACCTTCTCCTTTAAGCCCCATTAGCAAGTTAACATTAGGCAAATGTTTATATACTTCTGTTTGTATTGGTTACTCATCATCGTCTCATCATTTTTAAACCCTCTGTCATTGTTATCTCCTTAATTCTAAGACCTATTTGACATATGCAATGTAAGTATTCTCTAAAATAATGTTAATTGAGAAAATGAATATAGTCAATATATCTGAAAGTGAAATAACAAAATATTCATAATTTTTGGTCTTAAATTTTTTTTGAATAGTTAGTAACTATCTAATTTTAGTTAAAGAACAAATAATCTTGCAGCGGTATCCAATTACTTCAAAGTTCACAAAATGTCGGAATAGAAACAACAAACTTGACAAAAATTTGAATTCAGATATCGTCTATCATTATGGATATTTTTTCATTTCAGTGTATATATCATTTTTTTTTATAAAGTATAGTTCTAATGACGGGACTTATTTTTTCCACCTAGAACTATAAACTGGTATCGGCATTGACCATTTTAATTGTTATATAAAAACGATGACAGCGCTCTGTCAATTCAGATTGAGGAATCGTAGTGGTTTGCCAAGGGAGGAGTTTGAGTTTAACAATGAGCGAAACAATTCGTACTATTTATTTGTGTATAGGGATATAAACTTTCCAGGAGATCGTTATTATTAACATTGCCGATAAAATTACTATAGTAATGGTCACCGACAAGACAGACACTTCAAGTCCGATTGTCAAATATGGAGGTTGATACTTTTTTGATTTTGATATTTCCGAAATTGCTGTGAATAAATAATTTGACCAAATCTTTAATTTGATCTTTCAAAAATATGGGGGTCTTTTTAAATTTCTAGGAGTCGTTTAACGTGATTACTAAGGTTAATTGATTTCCAAGTTTTGTTTTGTCCTCATATTTAGTTTTAGCAAGTGAGAAATCAATTCAGCAATGAGCACACGGTGCATCAAACCAATTTTGATATCTTTAGATAAGTTAGTATTTAAAAAACATTATTTGTTCCTGTATAATAAGATAGTATTTAAAATATTATTTGTTCCTATATAGTTAAAAGTTATCACTTATGTAGTTATTGTTATGTCAAACAAATAGTTTTATAGAGATAGAGCATTAATCTAACATAAATCTTATAAAATTAATTGCTTTCTTGATTCGTAGTCCCAACGATCATCCATAAATACTTGTTCCTATCCCCTTTAAAAAAAAGAGGTAAAAGACACAAAAGAGAACATAAAAATTCAATAGCCGAAGGAAAACCGACGACACTATGACCAGAAAGAAAAAACGACAATAAGAAAAATAATAGTCTATGAAACACTAATAGCATACAAAAAACTAAGGACTGAACATCACGAACAACACAAGTCCTTTAAAAAGGTTAAAGGTCCTGTTCCACATGTGACAATCCTTGTTTTCCTCATGGTAGGTACAAATTCGGTAATAAGCATCATTAGGTGATGTCACAATTTTGAAAAAAGAGAACGGAATTGTGGTTATGACCATTGAAACTTATCCGTTGCCCTTTGTGGCACAGATATTACATAACTTAAACCAACTCATGATGACGTCTGAAAATTGACATCCTTAAGCTTGTTCTTGCTTTGTTGATGAAATGTCGATAATTGTCCTCTGAATAATTTAGTTTTTTGCTTATTTCTGGACTTTCCTTATATTTCATTTTGACTTCGTAGTACCTTTATCTTAAATAATTAATTCGGTTTCTTTTGCCATTTATCGAGTTTTTTCATGGAAATCTATTTGGTGGGTATAATAAACACAGTAAAAAGAGACATGACTACTTTTCTTGTATTCGTTTCATTCACCTGCTCGAATGGAATTTCACTGTAGATAATATATATAAAATATTTCCAACAAAATTACGTAATCCAAAAATCACAAAATTGAATTCAAGCTTAAGACAAGTAACATAATTGTGAATATGTTTAATGTTTTTGTAGCATTTGTAACCAAACTAGATCAATTTGTATCTGAAAGTCAACACATACTTCCTATTCTTCCGCAGCATTTTGTTTTTGTGTTATAATGGTTTTTTATTGTCAATATTCCAAATATATATATAAACATTCAAAATGTGTCAACATTTATATACAATTCATGCCGTGCTAATGCTTTAACGATCAAAAGGAATGATATACAATTCGTATATGACCAGACTAGTGTAGACGGACTTTATTATAAAAAGAATCAGATGAAATAAATATATATGTGAATAATATATAAAAAAGTTTCTATACGGTATGAGAATAATATGAGGAAGAAGTATATATACCCTTTGAGACAGTTGATAAGACAACTCACAAAGAAAAGGCTTATTTCACATGTACCTGTTTGGTCACGTAAAACATACATAATTGAATAATAGCCTTAGCAAAAATATTATGGATCAAATATGATATGATAACTATGCAATTGTTTGAAGAGACAGAAATATAAAAAGAGTGACCGTATTATTAAGACGGATTTCAAATTATTTAATACTTTATTTGCTAGTGTCAGTGAAGATAGTTTTTATATAAAGTGATTTTTTATGTTTCTACAGGTAAAAAAAAGAAGGCAAGCAAAAATATTGAAAATTGCCTAGAAAATATTGTAAAAACCATTTAAGGTAATGAACAAAGGTCTTATACCAGGCTTGTATTTTGCGTTTTGTCTACAAAATACTCATCAGTGACA